CTCTGTGGGAAGCCTCACCTTGTTCACTTTAGAGTTGCACAAGATCTGTGTTTCATTGCTGTACACCTTGTGTAGTTAATCTTTAATTCTGCAGAAGTGAGAACAAAGCCATTGTCCTCACTAAGCACCATGAAGTACATTTGCAAAAGGGCACTAAAGGCTTTCTTCATTCACTGGGCGCTCATTTGCACATAGCCTGTGTTGCAGTGGGCTGTTTCTGCCTCTCCCAAAATGAAACCTTCTTTGGAATATTTTGTAATGCAAATTGTTGGGGAAAAAAAAATGAATTCTGAAAACTGGTTCTGAAGTGCAGAATGTTGCTATATACACATGAAAATGCGCATATATTTATATAGAGAATTCCCACCTCATGTCTTGGTCCACAGCACTTAGGTTATCAGAGCCCCTTATCTTTCTCTCCAAAGCATTGCCAGTAGTTTCCCTTTACCCTTCTTGAGACTTATTGAAAATACCTGCCGAAGTAAATAGTTCTCATGGCCTGATTTGTGACTCTGTAAGCCTCCTTTGAATCTCTCTGTAGGCTTTTTCTTCTCTTTCATTAAGTACAGAACTCTGAGCTCTGATGCAAGCATCGTTTGTGGCCACAGATGTTGAAAGACTCTTGGGGACTTTGGACTTTGAATCGGGAGCCTTGACTTACAAGACTGTAGTCCGTAATGCCAGTCTCAGTTGAATTTTTACACTGTTTATCAAGACTCTTCTGTCAAGGATACCTTGCTAGGTTGACAGCCTCTAAGGTTTTTTGGCTTACCCTATTTACATACAGTCTGCCTGACTTTCCAGCCTAAAATTACCTGAATTGACCAAAGCTGATCTACGCAAACATGCCTTCCTACAGTGAACTTACATGGGCACTTCCAGCTAACTCAAGGTGTTCTGCTGTTGTCACTGGCTGGTTTTAAGTAGGGTCTGTTCCCTAACCCCATTGTTGGTTTGGGTGCTGAATGCTTGCATTCCCAACCAGAGGTGGGTGTTGCGCGGTGAGCAAAGGGGCAGAACTTCTCCCTTTGAACAGCAGGGCTGGTTCTCTCCTGGAAGGAGGAGCACAGTGTTGTTTTGTACAACAATGTAATGTTTTTTGCAGTTCTCCTGATCACATCGTTCTCTACCTGTATATACCTTATGTCTTGTCTTCTGCTCAGCTTGCACAGCACCTACTGTAGTGGAATCCAGGTTCTGTTTTACCATCTGCCACTAAGGGTAACTGAAGGAAAGGTAACAGCAGTCAATACCTAGAAGTGTGTAACCAAGTATGATCCCTACTGCCAGGTTATTTGAATGGAGAGCAGTGGAGATGTCAAGGATCAAAAGTTTATTGTTACGTTTATGGCAGCAAAGAGCTCTGGAAGGCACTGAGCAATTAATCTGTGCAGTCTTTGGAAAGTAGCTATGTAGTAGTGTAATGATCCATTGAATTAACTGATTTGCTGAACAACAGACAACAGCAGGAGCTGAAGTTCAGCAGCTTCAGGCTCTGAACTGCCACAAATACTGCACATCCAGATCAGAGCCTGAAACAGGATGGTAATTGAAGGTGCCTTGGAGTATGGTCTTGTTAAAGAGCCACTTGAGGGAGCTGTCAGAATCAATAGGTGACTGATGAGGCTGCCAAGGAGATCCTGGAAATAACCACATAAAAGAATTGATGAAATATAAACTAGTATTGTAGGGTTTTTAGAGTGGCACTAGACTTCTGAAGTGTTTGTCTGGGGACTGAATGCGTTGGAAGCGTCCTCTTTGTCTTGCTGGATGTGAGTCAACTTCTCTACAGAGCATACTTTGATTGACGTTTCCTTGGGAAATGCATTAATCTTCTTGCACTGTTTTATGGAAATTGCACCTGCAAGCGTATTGGATTTGAACTGACACTGCAAGCTGCGTGTGTCCAGGTCTGTGCTTTTTTCAGGTGTGTCAGGCTGCAGGAGCCTCTGTCTGCGAAGCCAGGTCAGGGTATGGCTCTGCAATTTGCACGTGGGATTGAGAAGAAGGAAAACTCCAGTACTTCAAGTAAGAAGATAGAGTGTCCAAGGCGCTGTGCTTGTAGTTCTGGCACAGGCATGAAGTTACATTTTAATTGTTCAGTGACAGATTGTGCTACAAAAAGTTCACAGTAACTGTGTAACAGCTAAGGTGGTACAGCTCATTTAGTAATCTGAGTCTGAAACATGTTGCAGCTTTTCCTGGCCTGTTCCTTTCTTGGTTCAGTTGGGATCAGCCATTCTGAATTTAGTGGGTGTTGTGTGGAGGGTGCCAGGTGACTCCAGCCTACCTGGGGAGACAGCAGAGCTTAGCGCGAGACCAAAGTTTGTGTGTGCTGTGCACGTCTCTCTTTCCCCCCCTCTTGATTTTCTGCCGTGGCTTTTCTTTCAATGATATAGAATAATGCATCCTAAATGACACTATAAAATGTCATTAAAATATACGCAGGTAGTTTCTATTAATTTTCTGAAACTATAACGTGTATTATAGCTTTCTTTTTGTAAAAATGTAAAGAGTGTTTAATAAAGCTTGTGTTTTGTACATCTGCTTCATATATTATTTAAGTAAACGTAATGATATCTAGCCAGAATTTTGTAAGACATATATAATATGTTACCTGAAAAGTACAGGAATGTAAAATTCTGAATTTGAGGGGTTTAAATATAAATATCCCCCCCCCTCCGTTTTGTTCTGTTTCTGAACCATTCCTCTGTGTACTGAATTTTTAGCAATTAGTGTACATTAATTTATTTTTCAAAGATCAGTCAGAGAAACATTAATACAGTTAGCAGTGTGAAGCCTGTGCATACAAAAATCCTTGTGCCTATATGTATATACACATTCACGCAGGAGAGTGGGATGGTAGGGCTGAAAGGCTGTAATGCAAGGAAAGAACTGTAGTGAGTACATGTAAGTGAGGGGAGACATTGAGTAAGTTTGTGTGTTTGTTTCAGAGGTCAGTATGAGGTAAGAGCAACTTGAAATGATAACAGCAATGCAGGTTGTGAAACCTGTTTTAGCACTGCTTATAGTTTATACTTTGAGGGGGTCTTTGTGGTGTGTTCATATGTGTGGATTTATTGGAGTGTGAAATGAAAGGTGTGCATCTCTTTTAAGTTAAAACTGTTTTTTGGCAGGGATTTGTTGGGTGAAGGGAAAGCAGAAGTGACTGGGGTTGCTCTTGCCCATGATTAGAACGAGCCAGCATCGTGCGCAGTCCCATGTCGTTTATTGCAGCCATGCAACCTCCTTCCCTCTCCCATTTGGGTGCTTTCTGTCTCTGCATCCTGATTGTTCTCTGCTGATACTAATGTGAATTGGTGGGCTTAGATCGTCTTTTTCACATGGTGGCGTTTTGGGATAGATATTTGGATACACCACTAGGGATCGAAGTGAGATGCTGGGTGGTAGGGGGATCAGAGTCACCACGAGGAGCTTTTTGTTGCTGGTCATTTATGGTCGTGTCATGAATTTATTTTGGAAGTTTGCATCTAAATTTAGGGGCCTTGACCAATGAGATATGCAGATCTTAGGAGATGTTTTCAGGGTTTGAGAGGGTGGTTGAGACATGGAGGTTGAGACATTAAAAGCTCTATCTTGAAGATAGTTATACTTGGAAAAAATAGTTTAAGAAAGCTGCTTGTGTCCTGTGATTAGTTCAGGTTAATCTTTGAGGTCCCATTTTCCCAAGGTAAGTTGTCTAATGACTGGGAGAAAGGAGTGTCTGGTGGAGAGTTTGGCCTGGGATACTTTGCAGAGAATAAGAAATTCCAAGATGAATTAATGTTTCGTTATCAGGATTTTATTGATGAACTTCCTTGCCAGTCTCTCCCTCCTTTCTATGTTGGTATCTTAGAAACTCAGCGTTACATAGGCTGAAGTTTTAACCAGTGTTCAGCTCCCCCTCTGTTGACAGCAGGGTTGCTTTTTTGTTATGTTATTAACTGTGTTCTGTTACTGATGAGGTGCTCATTTAAAACAGTTTTTTTTGTTGCGATTTTTTTAAATTCACAGACAGAAACCCTCGTCTATTTTCCTTGGATCTTGCTAGGTCCGATAAACACATTTCAAGAGCAGCAGTGAAATGTTTTTCTTCACTCTTCATCCTGTAGGTTGTAAGTTAAGACTGTCCAAAAGTGGGAAGAGCTGTTTATTTGTCTGGTCCACAGGCAGAACAAAACCACTTCCTCAGTTTTCTAATAAGTATCTTATCTTGAGGGTGCACGTATTTCTGTTTCAGTGCTGTCTCACTGCTGTTTTGCAGGCCATGTAGCAAGGGTTTGATAAAAAGGGAGCTGACTTGAGAAAATGTGTGCTTGTGCAGTGTTCCCATTCTGCTCTGCTCTAATATGTACCTGTGTGCTGTAGAAAGCAATAAGCTGAAAGTGATACAGCAGGTTATGTTAGATGACAGAGATCTCTGGATTTGGCCAGGAAGGAACTCACAAATGTTTTAATTGTTAGGCTGGATTTTCTCTTTATATTCCTACTTTAAATATTGCTCTTACAAGTGGCAGTGACTACACTAGCTGACGAGGTTAGCTGACTATCTAGGATCGGATGCATAATTTTTAGATGAGTAAGTTAGAAGTTGTATCTATTTTTTTTTGTCTCTAAACAGTCGTCATGGCAACTGGAAATTTCTTGCTTTGAGTAAATGCCATTTGGGAAATCATGTCTTCTGTAACCCAAAGGGGCTATGTGTATACACTTTGTCTGTGGATAGTCAGTGACAATGAAAAATATGACAAGTTATTTTTCTTCATCTTTTGGTCCTTCTCTACTGTTGTCTGTTGGTCAGTAATACATTTAGTTGTGGATTTGTGGATTGCGACCTGGTGCAATTTGCATTTCTTGCCCAATAAAGATCTGTAAGTTTATATGTTTATATATTTAGATATTTCATGTATGTATGCATGCTTTGAGTTGTTCATCTTATTGTTTCAGGCTCTGCTGGAATGCAAGTGCAGTTGTGCTGACTGAATGTTGTTTTCTTTCAGTGGATCTGATGGAAATAAAAGAAATTCGCCCAGGAAAGAATTCAAAGGACTTTGAGCGTTGCAAAGCAAAGCAAAGGGAAGAACACTGCTTTACTATTTTTTATGGTACCCAGTTTGTCCTCAACACCTTAAGCTTAGCAGGTACTTTTTTCTTCTTTGTTTCTTCTATAAACCTACTGATGGAACAGTGATGCAAAGAATACTGTGGTTTTGACTTCTGCTGTTCAGGAGTGCACCAGATGTTTACAATGTGGAGACAGACCTTTTACTTGGCCCTTCGTGTCTGTGAACTACTGTATTTGTAATGCTTTGCTTTCAGGTAGTGTATCGTGTGAGTGTAGATTCTGATTTGCTCAATCATTTCTGGCAAGGTAGACTTTCGCTGGTTAAATATCTCCAGTGAGGTTTTCAACACTGGTTTACAGGCTGCCCAGGGAGGTTGTGGAGTCTCCTTCTCTGGAGATATTCAAGACCCGCCTGGACAAGGTCCTGTGCAGCCTGCTGTAGGTGACCCTGCTTCGGCGGGGGGGTTGGACTAGATGACCCACAGAGGTCCCTTCCAACCCCTACTATTCTGTGATTCTGTGATTCTGTGAAGAGCAGAGGTGACATTATTCGCTTCAAAGCCAGCAAAGGATTTGCTGTTGTATTCAGTGTGGCCAGAATATTGCCCTAGCACTTTGAATCTGGCCAAAATGCTTCTGGAAACAATAACCATAAAGAGTTAGACTGCAGCTGTATCACAGAAACTTTCCTATCACCAGTGAGCAATTGCAGACTAATTTGGAAAAATGAAGTTCTGTTTGGGTTGTGTGTGCACATGTCACATGGTAATATTAAACCTCTTCTAAAGAAGTACTAGGGGACCATAAATAAAACTGGAAGGTGTTAAGTTGAAAATGAAGAAATCTGTGTGAAACAGAGGGAAGTTGTATGCTGTATCTGTGGGAAGGGTTGGGGCATTTCATATTTCAAGTGAGATTATCCAGGGTTGGAAAACCAAAGATTTTGAAATGAAAAGGGATAGAAGTTCTTACAGGCTAAGCTGAATACAGTTTCTCACCAGTGGAGTTTACAAAGAGCTTTCTATTCTAAGAAGTTTGTGATGGATCCTTGGTTTAGAATCATACAGACAATTTATTGGGAGTGGTAGTTCTCTCTGTCCTGTGCAGGAACACACTTGTCCATTTAAATAATTAAATTAATTTCAAAATCTTAATTAGAGGAGTGCTTTGTAAGCATTTCAATGTGAACAGTAGCTTTAAATGGAATTAATTGCCTATAGATTGCAGTACTAGAAGACTTTTTTATGCAGTCTAATGCACTGGAAATTAAGGACTGCTTGTGACTAATCCATTGTTATACGATTTTAACTCTAAATAAGTTTTACTGTTGTTGGCTGCAGTCTGTGAAAATTTTGAGTAAGCGGCTGTGCTGAAGTGCAGCTGTGCCAGGTACTTCAGACTGATTTCCTCAATCAGCCCCCGCCATCCCTCCTCCATGGTGGTTCTCAAAACCAGGCCTCTGCCAGTAGCTTGAGAACAGGCGGTACCAGGAGATACGTTGTTATACTGCCAAACTGCAGAACAACACAATACTACTTTCAATTACGGGGGAAATCCTTTTTGTTGCTGAAGTGCTTTGTTGCGGTTTCTTAAAACAGCATAAAGTAATTGTTACTTAAAGGGAATGGTAGCTGTCATAAAGGGCAGAATTGTCTTGGGAGAAGAATTGGTTTGGCAGAGGTAGTGGGTGTTCTTTCTGAAATTGTGACCAATTGAAAAACATTTCCATGGGGAGCTGGGGCTGGGCTCTAGCTTCATCCTTGGGGGATAAAGCATTGTTTGGAAGCATGTTTCAAAGAAATGTAATCTTCATCTTTTGAGAAACTGTTTTACTTTGAAGGCAGTTAAAAGAATTTGCACAGATTACAGCTTCTGTGTGAAAATAATTTTTCAGAACTGCTTTAATTAAGAATGCCTTCCTGAAGTTTCAGAACCAGTGTGCGAAAGGAAAAGGACTTTGCCCAACTGAAGGCTGTAGTGATAGAATCTCATCCAAGGCCCCCAAAATTGGTTTTGGCTTAACTGGTGTTCCCTGGGGAAGGCTATACCCAGCAAGCAGTTTGTCATCTTGCTTCTGCTGGGTCGAAGCGTTACCAAATGCAGTCATGTTAAATGATGTGGAGGACTCTTCTGGCTTGGGAAATGGAAACTATATTTAAAACAAAACAAGACAGTGATAAACCAATTTGTAAGGGAGGAAGATGTACTTGGCTTCTAGTGTTAAGCCGTGTAAGGAACTTCAGATCTTTTTTTAACTTAACTCATATTAAAGTGTTCTATATAAGCTACACCAGTTTTGGTCGTTGCTCCCTTCCTGTTCCTCTTGCCTAACTCTAATCTGAAACAATCTGTGTTCACATGCATGGTTGGGATAGACAGGACGTGGTTGTATCCATCAAAACCCAGTACCATTTTCTTGAAGGTTGCTGGAGTATAATGAACTAGCTTTATGCTATAATACACCGAGTTCTTTGGTCTGTGCACTTCAGGTTGCTCTGGATCTAGATCCCTGGGCTTTTGCCACTTCAGAGACAGAAGATAAGAAAATGAATTTTGATTGTGTCACTACAAGAGCTCAGCAGTAGTTTCATAGTCTTTCTGCTGAGATATTGACACTTGCCTGCCCTGATAAGCAGGCTTCTAAAAGGAGGTATTTTTTGACAAAGCTTCCAGAATTAACCTTCCCACCCCCAGATTTGTGCTGTTTTTAATTAGTTTTATTATTAGCAACATAAAGCTATGCAATGAGTTTTATCAAAGAGAAAGGTTAACCAGCAGCTTTGTATACTAGGGTTTATCTAAATATCACAAGTTATGTCTTGGTTTTGTGTTGATTTTGTTTTGATGTTTCTCATAGCCTATTGATTTTTTTCAGCTGACTCTAAAGATGATGCTGATAAATGGTTGTGTGGCTTGAATATCTTGTATCAAGAGGTCATGAGCGCTCCCACACCTGCGATCACAGAGAGGTATGTGGACATATTTTCACTTTGTGAGGCTTGCTGTTTCTTTGGAATTGAAAGTGGAAAATCTGAAAGAGATTTTTAAGGTGCAACAAGTGGTGCCTGCCAGTTAGCTAAAAAACAACTAGTCTCCAGTTAGTGTATGATACAGAAAGCTCATATGGAAATTCTCCATGTCTATTTTGCTATATACATGTTCTGGAATTGCACTCTGTGGCATCCATTGTTGTGGACTTGCAATTTACCATGTTCTGTATACCAAAACCAAATCAAAACAACTCAAAAATCTCTTAGTGAGGTTGCAAGAACATCTGGTGTAAGTGTGCATTGACTTCTTGGAAAATTCAAATGTCTTAGGCAATCACAGTAGGCTTGCTCTGCTAGATGTCCATGTGTCCTGCGTCCCAGTAATGCACAGGTGCTCTTTTGGAGTTTCTCCTTTTTATTGGACCCATTCCATTGTACGGCAATGTGGTCAGCGGACTCGCAGAGCCAGGCTGAAGATGAACATTTTCAAGGATTACTTTTGAGCAGCCAGCCAGATGATGGTGAAACTGTGCCTTGAATGCTTCTGAGGATGTTGCACATGAAACTGCTTGTGCTCAGAATGCCAGCTTTATTGACAAGATTTTAATGCCGTCTCCCTACCTGATTGCTTTTCATCAGTGCTGATATTTTTGTTTGTGGTCACTGCTGTTAGCTGTTGTGAGCCTATACCCTGTCCTCACTTGTTACCTGACCAAATTGTGGCTTTTACATTCGTGTTGTCTCTACCAGCTGCCCGTTCCAGTTGTGGAGAAAGTGTTTGTATTTATTCTTATCTGTTGTATGGCATTGCAGCAAGCTGTTATCCAAAGTGCTATGGGGTTCCAGGCTGTTTGTGCAGCAGAGTGATTCCCACAGAGACTGAGGATAAGCTTAATAATGACATGCTGTGTTCATACATCAGATCAAAATCGTCTGTGGGTATATTTACTTTTAAAGCTGCTAATAGTATTTTGCCATGTACCTAAAAATGATATGTGCTTTAATGAGGATTTTCTCTAAAATTCTCTAAACTGCTCTTCTTCCCTCCTAATTTTTATATATCTAACAGATCTTTGAGCCAGCAGCCTCAGCTGGCATAGATTGTTGACTTGATGAAGTTACTCCAGTTTAGATTAGCTGAAGTTTTGGCTTGCTTTATCCACTTATGTTTTTACAGCTTCTGGTTGCTCATTCTTTTCTGTCCTGTCCGCCCTTCCCCTTCCTGTGTTGTTTATGTGACTTTAAAATGCAGTATTAAGCAGCAGAAAAGCATGTATTTACAAATACGGTTATGAAACTGGCTGAATCCTTAGATGTTGTACTGTAAATATTTTTGCTTTATTAAAACAGATGTATCTTATGATTTTTAAATATTGCTATTCATTTCATCTATGGATTTTGGTATTTCATTGGCTGTGTTTTTGTTGTAATTCTTAGCTTAAACCTTTTTTTTCCTCCACTCTTTTCCATAAGCTGGCTGAGAAAGCAGATCTATTCTGTTGATCAAACCAGAAGAAGTAGGTAAGCTCTCTATTTGTTCAGTTTGTTGTTAGTGAACTTTTGTTGCAGATTCTAACATGGAATGAAAAGAAAATAATTCTTCATCCACGATGTGAAATATGAGACCCCTGAAAATGGCATTTGTGCTTGCTTTAACAACTTGAGTTTTGCCTTTTGCTAAATGCAACATGTTCATAGCACTCACTCATATTCTTGTACGTGGTACACTGAGGAAGCAAAGGATGAAAAGTAAATGGTTTTGCTTTCAGCCTAGAATTACCCTGCCAGAATGATGAAAGAGAGTTGTCTTCTTCCAGTCTTACTGTAGAGATTCAGCTCAGCTGTGTGGGTATGTTAGGCTGCTTGCTTTACAGAGGCCTTTGCCCTTGCATAGCCAAGTTGGAGCGCAGCAGCTCGGACTGTATAAGCTGCTGTGAGCTTTCCTGTGCAGCTATGCCACCAGTTCTTCCTTCATTGCTGAAGCGTGTTTGCATTGGAGTGACTACACTAATTTAGGCAGACCAGAACCAGCTTTTAAAAGCTTGTTTGGTGATTCAGAACAGTGAAGCTGCATAAGCAGAGTTCAGCATGGGCTGTTCAATATCTGGGGCAGATGTTTAAATTATTAGCCTTCCCTTGTTCCAGTCCTGGTGGGGTCTGAATATGGCTAGTATGTGTGGTGTCTAGTTTGAAACTAGTGACAGCAGCGGTGTCAGATAGACCCAGAGGTAGGGTTGTCCCAACAATAAGATGAAATCTTTCCTGGAGGAGTCAGAGCTATGAGGAGGACAGAACAGAATATTAAGGGGGAGAGGAGGGAGCAGAGATGCCTGAGGATGTTAGGGCAGAGGAGGAGGAGTTCTGGTATGACAGGGTAGTACCATGTGAAAGAGTTATTTTAACAGTGGGAAACAGAAGATACTTTTGAGGATAGATATAGAAAGAAGCCAAGTTAATGGTTTGGAATAAGGGCAATTTTTTTTTTCTTTTTCTCAGTTGGCCTGGCTACATGGGCTTGTCTCGTTGCTGCATATTCGAATAGGCCAAAGCCAAAGAATCGCCTCTGACCTGGTGCTTCTCATGTGAAGAAGTCCCACGGGTTGCAGCTGCCAGTGTGCTGTGCAGCTTCGTATGTTTGAGTTTCAGTAGTTCATTTCACATTCATGTGTGATGTGGGTTTGTAGCTTTTGCACAGCAAAGGACACTTTTTTTTTTAATGAATTCAGCTGCATACCTCTCCTTAGAGTTGCCAGAAATCATGTGACACTGAGAAGAACGTTAACCCGTCCTCCCCCATGTCTCTTACTTTGCCATGATTTTGCTCCTTGTCTGGAACATGCATTTTATTCTGAAGTGTAATTCAGTGTAGAAAAGTACACGCGTTTCCTCTCATTTAGGCCTTTTCCTAAAAGCAAAATAAAGTGTGGTGTTTTATTGTGTGAATGAGACTGTGTTATTGCAGGAAATAACACCATTCTGCAGACAGCCTGTCGCATTGTGCAGCTGGCTTCAGCATGAGCTGAGACACCATTTCAAAGCAGTATTTCCTAGGCTGGCCAGAGTGGTGAAGGGGAAAGTAGCATCCTTTACTTGTATCTCCTGATGTATTTTGAAAAACTGGCCCTGCAATGGCAATATGTTGGCGGGGATCATGAAGTAAAAGCAAGTGTTAGGATAGAGAAGCTGTGGCTGACAGTGTATGTCTACTGAAGAGGTTTCGTTTGTTGCTTTAGGGTTGTTTCATCACTACAGGGCAGTCTGGTTAGAATCAAGGGGACTTGCACTGTGAAGAGGGCAGTTTTTCGTTCACTTGGTAGGTGATTCACGCTTTTAGAGAAATTCAGGAAAGTGGTTTGGACGGAGTTTCATTGTGTTTAGTGTTGCAGTTTCTAGGGAGGTTAATTGTAAAGGTTAGGCTTCCAGGCAAGTCCTGTTTCACAGGTTGAGTTTTTTCCAGTGGTAATGAAGTACCAGCTCTTTGTTTCAGCTTGCACTTGTCTGGCTAGAGGAAATTGCTTGTGCCTGGTGTTTAGGGTACAAACAGTGTTCATTCTTGCTCCTAAAAGTGTGTTTTTCCAGAGGTCTGGCGACAAGGCGGAAAGCCAGGAATTTCCCGCGTTCTAATCTGGCTTTGTCATGGACTTTGACTAAGTTCCTTTTGCTTTGCCTCCTTCCCGCTCTACACAATGGAGATGAGAATATCTCTCAGGGCAGCTGCGTGCATGGGCACTGTGGAATAGAAGTGTTACTTTTTGTCTAGGTGCTAGTTTTTTTTGTTGCTTTCAAGTGACACTGTTCTGACCCTGAGTTTGCAGGGTGTTAATGGGTTATGAATTGCACTGTAGGTTAAGAGTACCTTAGTCTTGTTTTCTCGCGTACTGTTGGTATTACCTTAATGTTTTATGGGCATTGGCAGTAGGACCCACAGATGTTGTGCCTGCGTTCTCTTGACTCTTCCCTGCTTCGTTTTGCTGTCATGAATTCTCCTCATCTTCTATTCTAGAACTTGTCCCCATGCCCTTCACATGTCCCACTGTAATGCTGTGTCTTGTTGAGAGCTCACATCAGTGCCTACGCTGAATACCTGGAGTTTGATACTGTGTCCTAGAAAATGTGACCTGATTTCCGTTCCTTGCTATCCAAAGATAAGTTGAATAGCAGGTGACTGAAGTGGGGCTACAGGAGACAGCTGAGTTGGTGTACCAGCTTGGTGCTGCTGAATGGATGAAGTCTCAGTCTTTCCTTTTCTAGCATCTCGACATGCTGCTAATTGGGCACTACAGCCCCTTTTCTTATTCTGGCCATGACGCTGGTCTGGGCATGAGGTGAGCTGGGTGACCTCATGAAGCCGGTAGAAAATGTGCTCTCTCTTGGGCACAGCAGTTTTCTGCTTGCCTAGCAAGTTGAGTCAGGTTAGCAGAAAGTTTGATGAGTGTCACAGCTGGCCTATGGAAGCAGTGGGACCATAGCAACAGGAGAACAGCATGGGGCACAAAGAGAGCAGTTGGGGTTGCTTCTTGTAACAGCAGTGAGCTGTTAGATCGGCTCACCTGTACCTATGGCACATTTAAAATGCTTTGACATCCAGCTCCTTTAGAAATCACCCCTCTCTCTGTTCATACATGAGTTACAGTAGCATTCCCCTACCTTCTATTTCGTTTTGATGATAAGTATAGTAAATATTGTGAGCTCTGAGCTTGCAGTGAAGGATGCCATGGCAGCAGCACCTAGGACACTTCAATAAAATCTGAGGTAGGTGAGAACTGGAAGATGTGAAGGAAATTGAGATTTTCGAAATAAGCTATTCACAGGTTTGTTTCTAATACAAAGCCTTCCTTCACCAAAAGCAGTTTGATGTATACATCATACATGATTTGATGCATAGTCACAAAGTATGCATGGCCAGAAAATGTTACAGTGATTAATAAATTTAGCTTTACATGTAAGTATTGCTGAAATACTTGGTGTATGTATGCACTGTGTTGCTTAAAACCTGAAATAAGTATGTCTTGCTTGAAAGGTCTTGCTGGTATCTAGAAAACTTTGTTTTTTGAAGTGTTGCTGGTATATCACTGGACATTCTGAAACTCTGTAAAAGAGGTCAGCAGGTCTGTGTAAATGGACCTGGAAGGCAATCCTCTCTGGGAAGACTTGGTTGTGAGAGGAGGATGAGGTCATGTTCAGATGTTGCAGAAAGGGAGAGTCTTGCTGCTGCAAATCAATTTTGCCATCCGAGTGAATAACAGCTGGAGAAAAAAGTTATAATGAAAACGGGAGCTTTTTATTGTCTGTTTCTGCTCGTTCCTTTGGTATATCCTTTGTGTAATGTTTTCTGTGTCTATATTCCAGTTTCAGTGGGACTGGAACAATGGAAGAAAGGTTGCAGTTCATATGACCATGTGTAAACATCTATATTTGAGCTAATCATCTAGATTGGATTAATTGTTGATGGAGAGAAATGGGTGTCTCTGCAGCATGGTTCTTTTCATCCTAACATGGATGCCCAAATTAAATGAAATGCCCATATTTCTCCCCACTAACTAGAAAACATGTGTAGCTTGCTCGCATGTGTTATGTTTATAGAAGTTTACAGTTATGTGAGATGAGCCCTACCCAAAATGTTTCAATAGTCACATTTTTGTGTTGATCGAAAATAAATTAATAGTTGACTAGGCACAGCAGAACTGTGGAGTTTTTACTATCTTTTTTTTTTTTTTCTTCTTTTTTTTCCCAGTATCAGTCTTAGAGAGTTGAAAACTGTCCTTCCCCAAGTAAACTTCAAAGTGAGCAGCATGAAGTTATTGAAGGATAAATTTGCGGTAATTGCCTGATAACTTATATCTGTTTAGTGTTATCTTATAGGTATTGGTTGTTTTTTTTTTTCAGGATACTGCCTATATTTTTGCTTCTTGCCATGTACAGTTAAATAAATTATACCAGTTAATTTCTCAGATTGGCTTTGCCTATGTCTAAGGCTATAAGAGAATATAGACATAAGTGTTCCTTCTTTCCATTGTATGGTTGACCAAAGCCAACACTGGGTTTTAAGCTCCAGTGCTGATGCTGTGCAGGTGCATAGGAAACTTTTATGTTTAAGATAAAATTAATGTATAAGAAAAAGATTTTTTTTTCAATAGGATCAAGTAATAACCTCTTCACTCCAACTTGTGCTAATATTAATAACTTCTGAAGGTAGTTTCTGTTCCTAAAGGAATTTTAAATATCTCCACCTTTTCCTGCTTTCCACCTCTCCACCTTTAAAGCATACATTCTTGCTTCTGTTGCTCCAGCTAACAATGACTACATGAGGCACTACTTCACTCTCAATAACGTGGCGGAAATGGAGTCAGAGTACAAAATGCAAGGCCAAAGATGTAGGCTAGGAGCCCTATGTCACAAACCAAGAATCTGTTTACTTGGTTGTATCCTTACATAAATAAATAAATTTAAAAAGCCCAAGTGGTTATAACAAATGAAGTTGGAGTAGAACAGAATGCATGAGAGGGTGGCAGCTGGAGTAAGAGTAACTTGTTTGCTGTGCAAATGCAGTGCAGGGAATTCTAAACTAGTTATGTGATACTTTCTGTTGTAGGAAATAGGCGCTCACAAAGAAGAACTTAGTTTTGAACAATTTCATTTGTTCTACAAGAAAATTATGTTTGAACAACAGAAATCGGTAAGCTTTTTCATAAGTCGTCTTCATACTGTTAAACTGCTTCATCAGAATAAAGAATGAATGCTGATTATTTTTTTGCTTCTGTTTGTTACTAATTTTTTTTTTCCTCATTCTTGTAACAGAAAAACGGCATAGTACTGTACTTGATGTGTAGATAACAGTCACCATCAGCAGTTGGCTTAAGAAAATGCAAAAGTCATTGCTGTTGCTGCTTGTGTGTTGGCAGTAGAAATATGCACAGATATAATGGGGTTTCTAGGAAGAACTTTTCTTCTGAGTATGTTCAGGATGGAGAATGTCTTTTTGTTAGGCTTGGCTGATCTCTTTTCTGAGAGGAACAAGGTTCTTCCATTCTTGTATTAATCTTTTATTGCTAAGAACATTCTGGAAATCACGGGCATGTATCCTCAGTATCAAATAACAGCTATTGTTCTCATAGTCTCTCATGCTCGGAGACTACCAGTGGTGAGTCCATTAGAAGATGGACATCAGTCAGTCCTCGGGAGGCATGAGTGCAGTGGAACTACATTTTAGCTAATTTATACAGGAAACTGCCTGAATACTGTTTCCATGCATTCATTGCACAGATTTGTGAAGCTGGTGGAAACTGCATACATTTAGTGACTCTGAAAGTTAAGAACCCTTTGAAACTGTGTGAAAACATGTAATTTGAAATTACTTGTATAAATGTCCTTGTTGACGATGTGCTTATTGTTGATTCAAGTTGCAGTTGCTAAAATAGAAGCTTCGATAGTCAGAGTCAGTGCTGTTTCTTTTGGCAATTGAGCTTTCTTGTGCTGTTTAAAAGTGATGCTGAAATTATTGTGAAGTAATAAAGAATCTCCATTTAATTACAAGGGTTTAGTTTTGGCCATGAAAGTCTAGTTAATTAGCTTCAGCAGAAAGTTGAAGCGTAAAACACAGAATGAGGTGGTGATCTGACTTCCTTAAACTTTTGTTATCGCCCCTTGTGGATCATTTCAAAGAAACTCCTCAGTTTGCTCAACGGCTGCGTTGGGTCAGTTGATAAGTTTCCTGCGATCTGTAACTATGTTGTGCCAAGCTGGAAACAATATAGGTTTTCTATTCTCATGAATAAATGTGATGGATGGTACATAATTCCATTTTTTCTGGGATATCAAACAATAAAAACTCCCCAGAAGCTTGACTGATTGTATGTATAAGGTGCCTTACCAATAGCAAGTTTTTTGCCTGAAAATTGCGTGTGTTCACACTGAAAGGCCTGAAGTACAGTCACCAGCCTTGGCAGTAGGTTTTTTCTTATGCATTTAGTTCAAAATGGGTCTTGCCTACTTGTATGCCACTTCTCTGGAGCAGATAGGCCTGTATTTCCCCTTCCCAAACCAACAGACATTATTAGATGGAATTAGATAGAAAATTGCATATTCTTTTGTTATTTATCTTTTCCCCCTTTTTTGTGTTTTTTGTTTGTGCTGTTTTTTGTTTTAAGATTCTTGATGAATTCAAAAAGGATTCCTCTGTGTTCATTCTTGGGTGAGATTCTTCATTTGTATTATTTTTCCACATTTTCATATGGTTGTAGTGCTGCAGGATTGTTTTTTAATGACATCACTGTGTTTTTTTCTTCTGATGCTTTAGTAAGTGAAAAGAAATGCTACATCTTTTTGCATTCAGAAAAATGAACTTATCGTGGACGGAAGTTCTAAATATAATTTGATAAATGTTTTTTACTTTCTGATAAGAAAAAAATGGTATGGACTTGAACAAGTGGATTGCCTATCCTCTGATTTTACTAAGAGCAGAACAGAACTATGGAAGGACAATTTGATGGGGGAATTTTGACTTCAGTCTGGAGACTGGTGTGGTGCACAGGCTTTGCCTAGACTTGAGCAGAATGCTGATAGTAACAGTTTTTGCATCTTTCACTTTATGGACTTGAAAATTTTAAGATGTGTACAGCATGAAAAAGGAGGTCACAGGCATTGCTAACATTTTGACTGAATTAAACTAGCTTATCATGGTTTTTGAATATTACACTAACAGATTAAGGAAGTTACTTAAAAAGTTTGCTCTGAGTATACCGTATATTTCCTTAGCCCTTGGTCATGTCATATGAATTAAACTGCTTAAAAGCACATTTTTATCAAGGATGTGTAGGCCATAAATACCTTATTGGTACCAAATGATGTGGCATTTGTGTCCTATGAAAGGGAAGGCAGTGGTGCAGCTGCATCTCGCCTCATTTTTCAGGAGGTTTTGATCTGTCACAGTAGATCATCTGAATAATACATGAAAGGAGTTATTTGTGGAAGTGTGGCTCTATGATAATTTAAAAGAACACTGTCTCTATATGCCTCAACTAAACTTAACAACACCCCAGTCAAGTGAATGCTGCTCATTTGCTACAAAGCGGTGAGCACAGATTTGGTGCTTTTCCCAGGGAAACACTATCACAAGTACATCAGGGATTCAGGATGCTTTATTTAAAGGCTCAAAATGCAGTGATTAGATAATACAATATTGTAAGCATAGTCTAAATTTCATTGAAGTTACAACAAATTTCTTGATGGTGTCAACACATTTATACTGTAAATCCAGGATACAAATCCATGCCATTTTCTGCTATAACATTGATGACACTTGCTTTCTTATTTCTTTAGCTTCACTTTCCCTTTCTTTTTTTAAGAAATACTGACCGTCCAGATGCTTCAGCAGTTCATCTCCATGACTTTCAGAGATTTCTGCTACATGAGCAGCAGGTAGGAAGGTTGCAGAAATTCTGAGTTCATTTTCTTGAGGTTGTCTCACAGAATTCTGTGCTCATTAAAAAGAAATGTGATGCATCATAGACTGTGATTGATGTCAGCTGTGATACTAGGCCTTGGAAAGATTTCTCCTTCTTTGTTGCCATTGAAGTTCAAAAGAACTATTATTTTTTATCTGTATAAAGACTCTGAAGTTGCGCCAGAGGACGAGAGGGAGAACAAAATAAATAAGGTTTAAACAAGTCTCCATTTATTCATGCAGATAAACAGAGAAGGTTAGAAATAAGCACCGGATGGATGTCAAAGATAATAGCTTGGCCTAGTTACAGCTGTCATCGTGGGTATATCTGGGGTAATGCCTTGGCCATGGCCCCATTTTAGCAATTTTTAAATAACAAGCTGAGCTGACTGCCTGCATTCAAGTCAAAGGTATTTTTCTATTGAATGGAGACAGTTTGATGTCCCATAGCAGCAAGCAGGTAAGTATGGAGGCAGGGATTGGAACTGTGTCTTCATGGTCTTCTGTAATGTTATGTAGCACAGACACCATGGGAAAAAATTGTGTGACATTTCGCTAGGCATTGCTAAGCTCTAGGTTTGCAAATATGATTGAAAAGTGAGACCTACACTTCTTGTATAAGCTTGCTACTTTCTTTTTCTCCCTATTTCATGGTGTTAAAAGGGTGTTCAGATTGCATTTAGAAATGAGAGATATTAGAAGTACGTATGTAGTATGTATCTTGTGGGCCCCCAGCCTATATAAAGGTACTTAGATGGAGATCTTCTTTTTCCTCCTTAGACATCGTAGAGGAAACTCTGAAGGTACGTGGGTACAATAAAATATATTGGCAGTAAACTAGTCAGATGAGAGCAAAGTAAATCACATCTGTAGGTCTCTGTTCCTTATCTGATTTTTATATAGAAGAACACCACTTTTAGAATTGTGGGGGGGTTTTTTGTTTGTTTGTTTGTTTTTTACTGTATTATTGTTACTATCTGAAGGAATCTTGGGCACAAGATCTCAGTAAAGTCCGAGAACGAATGACAAAGTTTATTGATGACACTATGAGAGCTTTTTTCTTTCACTGCTAGTTCCTAGTTTGTTAATTGGGTGGCAGATCCTCTAGGCTTCTCTTGCTATGTTGCTGGGTTGCTTTTAGCCCTGTATGGTAAAAACATTTAAATTCAGTCTCTCTCTTTGTATTGTAGTTCCTCACTTACCTTTTTGCAAAAGAAAACAGTATTTGGGATGAGAAATATGATTCAATAGATGCACAAGACATGAACAATCCTTTGTCCCACTACTGGATTTCTTCCTCTCATAACACGTAAGTTACCAAAAGTCCCATTGTGTATCCCTGTTCAAACAGACTTAGCACATGTTAGGAGAAAGTAATGCTTCTAAGCTGTACCAGAAATATACTATATGAATGTGCGAAACATTCCTGAAGCGTGATGTAAATGTGGCAAATAGAGTTTGTGGGACTCCTTTTTCCCCTTCTTGTAAGATCTTGGAGGTTTTGAGGTATAACAGAGCTCAGCTGCCAGAAAACCCAAACCCTGAATCCTGTTACAAAAATAAAAAATCTTGAGTTGAAACTGTTCCAGCCTCTGTGCTTTCAGTAATTAAAATTATTGAAGGAGCTTACATATTTTCCAAGCACCAACAGCCTCGTTGAGCTAGTGTCAGCATTAGTTGTAACTGAATGTAAGAATGTCGTAAGGACCCATTTGTCCTGTGTGAAAATCCCATACTGTTGGTGTGATCTGAAGGGCAGTGGATTTGTTGCCTTGGGAAAGGAGGCAGTGATGTGCACTATTGACAGATACTCTGACAGTTTACGGTGTCACAAAGTGGAAAAGATTTGGTCCTGAGCAGGAAAGGAATATGGAGACCTTAAATTAGCACATCTGCTGAGCAGGACTTGGCTATTCATGGTCTTTGCCTGGATGATAAGGATTAGAGCAGACAGAGGTGCCTGAGGCAGAGGAAGAGTGCAGTTTGCTATTCTTACTCTTCTTTGTTATTTGGATTTAAAGTCAGAACTTTGAAGGCCTGGGGACTGTATTTTTTTTGTTACTGTTTTATAGAGTTTTATGCTTAGTAACTTAGCTGCTGATTTCTGTGGTTGGTGTCTAAGGTATCCAGCCCTTTTCCTTGACAATCTGTGGTATGCAAGCTCTTTAGCCCAAGTACAAATCTATGTGATGATGAGTTTGAACTGTCTTCAGATGAAGGAGATTTGCTCATCTACCATTGTAATGAAAAGAAAGAAGGTCTAAAGAGAGGGAGGAGAGATGAACAAATAAAATATTGCAGGGAATGAAATAAAGTGGGTGTGGATATAGCTTATAGATATGTTTTGATGTACATGGTGTGGTATCACTCTAAATACCCTCCGCATCCCTCCAACATGATTATGCCTCAGCATGATGAGGTTTAGGTATGTTTCAAAGCTCATGATTTCCTCTCCAGAAAAGTGTCAGTTAGAGTTGATTGGTATTTAGATAGAGCCTTTAACTTCCTAGAATTTGGTCCATTCAGAAATCTGATAGCATCAGGTTCAGTGGAATCCAGTTTTTCCATTGTAAGTAAAAAAAAAAACCACCAACATACATTCTGCATGACAACAAAAAATCTCGCCCAGTGAGCGAGTGGGCAGTTGTTGAAATTGACTGACTGCCTTTTACAATTTCTTTTTACTCCTTAGATATCTGACAGGAGACCAGCTTCGAAGTGAATCCTCCACAGAAGCTTACATCAGGTGCCTTAGAATGGGATGTCGATGTATTGAGTGTGAGTAAAGAGCTTATGGAGTGGTTTGTAACATGCTGTCCATATAAGCAGAGGTTCCCCTGTTTACCAAGAAAGAAAAAAGAACTGAAATCAAGAACTAGTTTGTTTTCTGAAGTTGAAGTTAGTCATATAAAAAACACCGATTCCCTAAATTGCTTTTCTTATGCCTCACTATTGCCCTGTTCACTTGCTCTGATTCTTGCTCTCTTGGAATTTGAAGCTAAAATTTCATCTCACTGTACACCAAAAATTCAATCTTGGATCTACTATATGAAAGTGTAGCATTTAAACTGAGTTACTTGTGTAGCGTAAATAGGTAGATAGTTTATTTGCCTTCACTGTAATACAAACAAGCCTTAAGGCACAGAGATTTTTTTTTTTGCAGTTTGGTGCCATTTGCCATCCTGTTTAACATCCTTGTAAATCAGTTGCTGTCTTTGTGCATTTGTTTTCTGCAGACTGTGGATGCATCTTCATCCCTATGCTTAAAAAGTTTGACTTTAATTTCATGTTATTTCATCAGTTACTTCATAAAACTAGTTGCTACTGCCTGTTCAATTTGGCTAATGCAAAATGTATCTCAAGTTAGAACTTCAGGGTTACAATCAACAAAAAAGATAAGCTGTCAACCTGACAGCTTGTTGGAGTGTTTTGTCCCTGGAAAATTATTGTTAACTAGCAGACTGACAATATAGCTGCCTGAATTCCTGATTTCCAGATTCCCATATGATAATGCTTCGGGAAAATTTTATGTTGTATTTTATTTGTATTGCTCTTACTTAAGTGAACTTAATTTCCCCTGTGAGAGATACAAATTCAAGTAATAGAATATTTTATTAGAACATTAAAGTCTATGACTCAGTATGCAGAACGCTGAAGATTTGGAAGTATTCTTTCTGCTAGAGTTATTTAAGTAACTGCTTGGTCTCTTCTTTTTTCCACTGCTTGTCTTTCCTAGTGGATTGCTGGGATGGTCCTGATGGGAAACCCATCATTTACCACGGATGGACACGGACAACAAAGATCAAATTTGATGACGTAGTACAGGCAATCAAAGATCATGCCTTTGTTGCATCTGAGTAAGCTTTGATTTTTTTTCCTTAAGCCTGTTTTTATATGTTTAGACCTACCTGAATTTTCTCTGTGATCTACAGCAAAAAGTAATAGGAGAATAATGAGGTTCCAGCAATCTTCATTATTGCCAAATGTGGGTCTTTGATGGATTCAGTTTTGAGGAAAAGTCCCATTATATAACAATTTGATGTTAAGGAAGATACTGAGTACCCTAAAGTGGTTCCCATCTCCTTGCTTTGGTTGTCTTTTACTAAATTCAAGGGTGAAATTTCAATGCTGAATAGTATGTCTTAAATTTTTTTAAAAAAATAATAAAATACTATAAGTGACAAGCACTTTGTCTATCAGGTGATGTTTGTATTGTAGGGGAGGTCTTAGCTGAGAAGATGTAGAATTCATAGCATGCTTCCTGAACTGATAACATGGGTTTAAATCTGCATCTCTGCTCTGCCCTTCTGTAACTTGGTGCTGACGTGTCCTTAATGTGACAAATATCACCCCGAAATTGGGAAAGAGATAGGGCTGTCAGTGTCCTGTTTTTCCACTTTACCAGCTGGACATAGAGAAGCGTTATTTTCTCATATGGGACAGTGTCTACACAGGCATATTGTGTTAATGGCGACTATAATACGTGATGCATTATGGTTTCAGACCATCAGCAGTGAGATGCTTTCCCTGCTTGCATTAAGGGATAGGCTATCCAGAAGGAATATTGAAATTTTTCCTGGATATGCAGGGACAAAATTAGAAAAGCTGAAGCTCATCCAGAGATGAAATTCGTGAGGGTTTTGAAGGACAGCAAGAAAGACCTCTACAGGTATAATTTCAGCAACAGGAAGATTAAGCAAAATGTGAGCCTGCTGCTGAATTGGACAGGAGACTTAGTGCCTGGAGAAGGCTGAAATATGCAGTGCTTTCTCTGCCTCAGTTTTCAATATTGGGGCCGGAGCACACAATACCAAGGGGTTAGCTCACAGAACTAACTTCTAACCAACTAGCTTCAAGAAGAGGTTAGTGAGCGAGTCTGAGTGCTGTCTTCCACTACCCAGTGGATGATTATAGAGAAGATGGAGACAGACTCTTAGAGGAACAAATTGACACGTAATAGTGCCATAGCACTGAAACTCTGCCCAGAGAGCTTGGAAAGAATCTTTGTCCTTGCAGATACTCAAATCTTGGCTGGACAAAGCTCTGAGCAACCTGATCTAACCTAGGAATTGGGCCTTCCCAAAGAAGGGGTTTGGACTAGATGGCTTCCAGAGGTCTCTTCTGACCTTAATGATTTTATGGTTGCACATCTGTTATTATTTGTTGTGTGTCTATCTCTATTCCTTTTGTCGTCTTGTTTGCTTTAAATATTTTCTTTGATCTGGGAAGGGTGAAAGAGGATGATGTTTTCCTGACCTTGCCAGTTGTAGCAAGAATAAATTGTCTTCATTCACCTTTGTTTTCTCCATCAAAGATACCCAGTCATTCTGTCAATTGAAGAGCACTGTAGTGTGGAGCAGCAGCGACACATGGCCAAAGTGTTCAAGGAGGTATTTGGGGATCAGCTTTTAACGAAGCCTATTGAAGCCAGTGCAGATCAGTTACCATCACCAACCCAGCTGAAAGAAAAATTCATCATCAAGGTAGGCTTGCTTTGTGTGCTGGTAGATAAAATAGGAAAAGGAGCAGGAGCCAGAAATACTACTACTGGCTTTGCAGCTTAGCTGTTAGTTTCTGTTGAGAGACAAGAAACCATGTGCTTGTAGTAGTGCAAGTGTGTACTAGTAACATTTTGCAATACTGCACAGAGTACTGTAAAATTACATATTAAAGTGCTTGCTATTGGTGTTCTTTGCAGTCAGTCTTGCTAGTTCAAGTGCCAGATTGAAAGTCAGCTCTTTTTTAAAGGTATTCCAACTCCTGAATTGTTGCTGTTAAATTTCAGCAAGGGTTCACTGCTGAGGATGCTCATTATAGACTTCTTACACAATGTGGCCTGCTTAAAAATGATAAAAGGGTGTTCTTGAATAGAAAGTTAGATTAGTGTTATTGACTTCTTTTTCAAAGAATGCCTTTCATTCAAGTGAAACCCAAAGCACTTGCAGGCTGCACACTTAAGTTGTCAGGATTGCTTGTAAGCTTCAAAAACTGATGGGTGTTTACTAACTCAGCATGATTTAAATATGCAATTTTGTGAGCCACTTGTGAAAGATGGAGGTGCTCCTGTTGGAAGGGAGTCACTGTTAGAGTGTCTTACCTTCTGGGCAATACAGATGCTTTACTTAGTACTGTTGTGCAACAGCATAAGGCAGATAACCAAAATAAGATTTCTCAGATTGAAAGTGCAGTAGGACTTTTTGAAAGGCAAAATTAGGTGGAGAATCTGAGGGCTACTCATGATCTCTGTAGTAAAATAATAATTACTTTTGTCCATGCTTCAGTGTTCCGGCTCTTGTAACTGTACTGCATCTTGTGTATTAAACTTCTGCACAGAAGAAATAAGGGTAGATAAAGTGTGCAGCTCTTGAATGTAAGACTGGAAATAATAGCACCTCACTGTAAGATGCAAAAGTCCTGTGCTTAAGTTTTTTGGGTTTTTTTTCCCTTCCAAACTGTCTCTTGTTTCCTTGCAGAGCATAGAGGGGAGTTGCATAGGCACATGAATAATAACATGACAGATCTGATTTAAAGGGAATTACAAACTACTACAAGTCTGCACAAGAGAACATCCATATCACTCTGTCCTGTCTAAAAGAGCATTAAAGAGTCTTTGAATAGATCAGCACCTGCCAGTGAGCTAGTTGTGTTATTTGGCTTTTGTTTGGAAAATGTCGTCAGTAAACAGTCAGAGGCAACTGCTACTTCAGGGGGCTGTGGGATTTTTCAGATAAGCCTGTCAAATTGAGATCGACCTACAGCAGGCTGTGCAGAACTGAATGTAGTTGAGAACTGCTAGGTAGGAGATGAGTAATCCCATCGTTAATTGTAGTTAAGTATTTGATGTTACCCTTAGCCCCTTGCGCCACCATTTTTTGTGAACACTCTCAAGAAAGTAGAACTTACCCCTCTTTTCATAAAGTATGTCACTTCTGCTCATTTTTCTTGTAGGAGAGTGAATTCCCTGTTCTTTTTAATTCTTTATCATTTTGTTTTGGGTTTTTTGTTCCTTATGTGTTGCTCTCTGCAGAGGGATTTCTTGTTTTATCTGTGTTTCTTGGAATATGTCACTTCATGTTGTCTGTCCTCTAAAGAACAGTGAGCTCTTGGGAAAGTATTTGTTTCTGTGTTGCTTGAATGATACTTCTGCTAAATTTTTAACCTTTATTATGAGATTTAAATTTTAAAGAAAGAAATTCCAGCCAAGTTGCATAAAGTCTTGTGGAACTGCTGCTGTTATGGTAATGACAGAAGAAGGTTGTGCAATGGAGGGAAATACTTCCAGTAATACTGAGTATGCTGAAATATTGTGACCAATTTTATATATGATTCTGTGTGCGTGTACGAGTGTGGTGAGTTTCTTTTGTTTTTAAGCACAAAAAACTGGGGCCAAAGGGAGACATTGATGTGAACTTGGAAGACAAGAAGGAAGAAAAAAAACAACAAGGAGAACTTTACATGTGGGACACAATAGAACAGGTATTATTTATATGACATTTGCTACAGTTTGTTACTAAGTTGCATTATACTGGAAATTCACATGGGTTTTCTCAATATTTGTGTAAGTAATGTTGTCAGTTGAACAGAGGTGAATGAGGGGAAGAAGGTACTTTGTTTATTGTTACACCTTGTTTTGAAATTGTGGTTAGTGAGTTTCCCTCTCTTGTTAATGGTTTTAATATCTCTTGACTTTTAGAAATGGACTCGGCACTACTGTGCTATTGCTGATGAAAAGCTTTCATTCAGCGATGATATAGAACAGAATGCTGATGAAGATTCGTCAAAGGTGGTAGCTGTGTTTTGTTGTTTAAGCATGTTCTCTTTATTCTCTCAGATTATTTCGGTGTCTACAGATGCGTATTTTTTTATGCCAGTGTTGAAGTTGTAGAGGATCTGTGTCAGCTAACAAGTGTATCAGGAAATAAAAAAATTTAAAAGGGTCTTTGCCAAGGTACCCTATTTTTAATAAAATAACATTTTTCCATGGCTAATTGTGGACTTGCAAAGAGGAATACAAAGACAATTAAATATAATTTTGGTACCTAAATGCTAATGCTGAGGCATACTATGACAATCAAAGTTTTATATGCCTTTGGCTAAGTATTATTGCTATTCTCAAACCAGGCAGTAAGGTTTGTTGTGTTAGTAATACAGCACACCTCTTACAAGTGCATGTTGTTCATTTCACATTTCAAAAATGTTTGTCACAGGTGAGCATGTGTTGCTTGGCTGTTGTGCATGGTGAAGCAGAAGCGTGAGACTCAGTAAGGGTTGCAACAGCGGTGATGTTCAGCATGGTTTCCTGTTCTGATTTTTCGGGTTTCCATGCACGCTCTTTCATTGCTAACATGTATGTGCATGGTTCAGAGATCTCTGCACATGCAGAACTTTTTACCCATTCACCTAGATGTTAATGTCAGTAAAATAGTTAACGTGTGACGAAGAACACAGATGAATCCTAGAAAAAAAAACCATTAGAAACTCTGTGAATTAGCAGTAGGGTGTTTTGTCTTGAAAATGTAGATCAGTGTTTGCATTGCTGCATTCTTTCACTTTCTGTTGATTATATATTTTAATAAGGCTGAAGCTGATCACAGCTCCAAAGAAATGACTTGACTGGGGAGGAGAGGGAAGGGTGACTATAGAGGCGATCGGCTTGTTTGTGGAAGGAGAGTTCAAGGCTAGGAAGAGCTGAAATCCCGAAATAGTAGATTGTTATATCCATAGCAAGTACTCTGTTTCCAAATCATAAAATTAGACAAGCGCTACAAAAATTCTTATTTTCTGGTCTAGGAGGTGAAACGGACTGAGCTGCACTTAAAAGAGAAATGGTTCCATGGGAAGATGAAAGAGGGGAGAACAACTGCTGAGAAACTGCTTCAGGAATATTGTGCTGAAATGGGTGGCAAGGATGGGACATTCCTAGTTAGGGAAAGTGAGGCTTTCCCTAATGATTGCACCTTGTCATTCTGGTATGGTGATTGTCATAAAAATTGTATGTGGGTTTTGTTTGTTTTATGGCATTGCACAAAACCGTGTGTATTTTTCAAGTATGTGTGTCTAGGAGAGAGGAAGTAGGAATAAGGAGTTGCTACAATTACTAGAATGTTACAGGTGGGATTGTGAAAGACTACTTTCTAAATAAACTTCAGTGTAGCATAGTGCGTTTTGGCAGAGTAGCCTTTATTTGGAATGTTACAGTTGTCAAGAGAGGACTGACTGGTTTGACCCACCCCATCCTCCAACTTTTCTAGTGCTCTGGCAGGGTATAGGATTTATTATTTCCTTAATGAGTGGGCTGAAATTTAGTCTTTCAATTTAGGGATAAATTACTGGTTTCTACACAGAAAAGGGAGTTTCATGAGTGTACCTTTATTAGCAGAGATTGATCTCTTCAATGAAGGGATCCTCTAGAGGGAAAATAATAAAGAACTTTCAAGGATGGGTTTTATTTGGCTTTTTGGTAGTCTGGGTTGTTTTTTTCTTTGATTCTGGTTGGGACATTGTGAGGAGTAGTGTAGCAGGTGGTTTTCTGACCCAGAGAGCTGTCAGAGCAAATTTTGCAGGAAGTAAATGTATGCCAGATTTTAAACCATTGTGGGTTGAAAATCATTATTTTTGGTCCCGTAATCTTGTCAGGATTTTTATTGCTGTTCTTACTTTGGTTGTTTTATGTGATGATACAGATTTCTTGCCGCCTTGCAAGCTCACCAAGTAGTTGACCAGGAACGGGTGAGGAAATGCTTCAAAAGCAGAAAACCTGCTGTAAAACCTTTCTTTTTCTTATGCCCTTCTTAATTTGTTCAGGAGATCAGGTAGAGTCCAGCACTGCCGGATCCGTTCTTCAAGTGATGGGGACACTGTGAAATACTACCTGACGGACAACCTCACTTTTGATAGCATCTATGATCTCATTCAACACTACAAGGAGGCCCACTTGCGATGTGCTGAATTTGAGCTGCGTCTGACTGATGCTGTGCCTAATCCCAGCCCTCATGAGACTAAAGAGTACGTACAGGAGAAGGCAAGCACCAGGGTTGTTACGTCAGTGTCCTTTGTATTGTTTTAGATGGTGTTGGATTTTTGCATAGAGAATTCCCTGGATTCAGGAGCATGCCTGAGTGTCCACAGATGTCATAGGAATAGGCTTCCCTGAAAGATGCTGAGTAAGATCACTGGCTTTGAGAACCTGGTACAACAGAGAGCTGTCACTGGGAAAGCAATTTACTAGCAGCGACTAGGAAAATCAGCGAGAACTGTCGTGCTGTGGAAGTGTGCTAATTCCTTCTTTCTCTGCTCAGTGTTTTACAACACACAGTGGGTTGGATTAGATATTTAGTAGTTGCCTGCGGTCTGGCAACTACGTGGTCGTGGTCTGTGCCATCTGGAAACTCTAACAACTCACCGGGGCAGTGAGGCCAGTTATGTTTTGCTAATCCCGCCCTCCACCTCACCCCTGTCAGAGTTGGTTAGGCTGACTTCGCCCCATGCTGATAGGAAGTAGTATAGCTTGGTGTTAGTTTCCAGCTGGTATTTGCCTGATGTAGTTCCTGGGCAGTGCTAGCTCTTGTTTGCTGGCACAACAGTGTAATCACTGCCCTTTGTTCTGTTTTCTTTGCAGTGAGGAAAAGTAAATTTCCTTTGCATGTGAAATATTAATCTGTGACTAAAACTTCTTTTTTCACGTCCCCTCCAGGATCTGGGAGTCACTGACCAGCCACAGATAACTTTGGAAGCCAGTAAGAGGGGAGGGTAGAGTTTGAGGGTTAGGCTTCCCTGCCTTTCTGTGTAAGCTGGAGATGTCCTGCTGGTATAACTGGCCACAGCTTCACTGAAGGCACATTAGATTCAAGATAGGTCTAACCCTACAGTGAAAGATTAAAATCAAGCTCTGAATAAAAGAATTCGAATGCCTGGTGTTTTTCTTTTGTCTGTGTTTGGGCTTTCCATTAAATCTGCTATGTCAAAACTGAATAAACTAATGCAAACTGAATGGCAGACTAAAAGCAGGATCAGTGCCTTTGTTTCAGGAAGAAGTACAGATTTGTATTTGATCGTTTCAGACAGACAAGGTGTTCTGATATGTTCTTGATGCTTTCATCCAAAGTAAGCTGCTGTGTTACAATGTTTTGTAATAAGCTGCTGTCATAAGTGGCAAGATGGGGAAAATCTAATGTATAATTTTTCTTGTAATGTTTGAAACTCTATTGTAATAACACTGTCCATTACTCTTACTGAATGACATTTGACAAGCTTTGTAATCCTTTGTCCATTTTAACTGTTGTAGTTGGTACTATAGCAACCTGAGTCGGGGAGAGGCAGAAGACATGCTGATGCGAATTCCTCGAGATGGAGCTTTTCTGATTAGAAAGAGAGATGAGCCCGATTCCTTTGCCATGACTTTCAGGTGAGAAAAGGTTTCAGGTGACTATTTGACATAGTAGCCCAACAATGTTCTGTTTTTTCGTGTTTAAAAAATACTGTGGTATTTTTAGCATCATAAAATTCATGCTTTCAAACTTTGAGTAATTAGCATGGTTGATTTGTGCAGGAGGTCCATGTATGAGAATGTGTACAAGAGATAATTTGTGACTGGAATAAACCTTTATGCTTTTATAAAGAATATTTGGGCACCGGCTGTCCCTTTCTTCCCATACAGAACTGTACATGGCTCTTCTTCCCTTCCTTGACGCTCCTTAGGAAATCCTACCCTGTCATATAGCTGAACAAAATGAAATGTCAAAATGAAATTGCCAGTTTTTTTTTTGTCAGGGAAACTGTGGTTCTTGCAACATTATTATTAAAATGTATAGAATTGTGTTCTCCACTGTGCCTTGAAATCAAATTGAGTTTCTTTGAAAATGCATATTTCTGCAACATACAAAATTGCTTTGGAAAAACAAATACTTGTTTTCTCTTGTTTGCATGCCTTACTGTGTATTGAAGATGTCCAGAATTCCCCAGTCTCCTGTGTAGTTTGGCTTTAAGCTTTCTGCTGTTACCAAGGTGGATACTGAAGTAACTTGAGCTGCAGCATCTCAGTAAAACCATTTCACAGTGGCAAAACAAGAAGTACTGAAGCTTCAGCAGCTTGAAAGGGATGCAGGAGCCTTCTGTGGGTGGGTTGGTTGTCAGTGGCTAGTTTTACTCCTATCAGTGCAAGTACAAACCTTGTGTTTAAGCACAAGAGGCTTTTTTTTTTCTTTTAAAATTGATTCCAGTAGTTATCGAAATGAGTATAGGGAAGAGACAGCTACTCGTTCTGAGGGGAGTGTGTCTGTCGCTAAGGGACAGCAGCAGACCATCATCATCAGATTCCAGAGGGACTTTCCATCTGATCAGAGACCTCTGTGCTGGTATAAAGATGACACCTATCTGTAGAGGGGAAAAAAATAGGGAAATTTAGTCTAAGCAAAACCATGGATTTGTCCCAAGATCCTGTACATTGTAGAAAAGTGAGAATGTAATTTTGTGAGTTCAGTCAGGCAGCTGGAATTCAAGTTGAATAAAAGAGGCTTTGGAACAGGGAGAAGTTATTTCACATAACCAGTTTAGGTCCAGCGTGTAGCACTGGTGCTCTCACTGCAAATACCAATACCTTTTACAGCACCTGCACTTGTTTCACAGAGCGGAGGGGAAGGTGAAGCACTTCCGAATTCAGCAAGAAGGTCGTCATTTTGTGCTTGGAACCTCAGCCTATTTCGAGAGTTTAGTGGAGCTGGTAACGTACTATGAGAAGCATCCGCTGTACAGGAAAATGAAGTTGCGTTACCCGGTGACGGAGGAGCTGCTGGAGCGGTACAGCACGGTGAGTGATGGTCTTTGTATGAGTGCCGGTTGCTGTAGTGGGCAGAGTCCCAGATCTAGACCTGAGGTGGTGGGTTTGGTTCTGGCTGTGATGGATGACCTTTGGGGGAGGTTAAACAGGTAGTTTTCTTACCTGTGAAACTGAGATGGTTATACTGACTTCTCTCACAAAGGTTTCGAGATCGGTGAAGGAAGGAGCTTCATCTTTGATTACAGGTCAACTCTCGCCTTCCTCATGATTTGATTAGACAAACTGCTCTGTGATGCAAGGGGGGATTGTTGCTCTGCTAAAACGAGTTTTTGACAATAGCCTCACCTGCTGTTGGCCCTGTCGTTTGTTGCTGGAGCAGGAAGAGATCTCACAATGATCATACAGATGCCAAATGCTAAGCATCTCAGAAATATTCTGCTGTGCCTCTTGCTCTGGATGGACAGTGGTGTTCATTTCACCGTGCTGGAGCCATCTCAGGGGTGGTGTCCAACTGCCTTCTGTGGTAAAAAGTGAGAGGTATCTCTGAAGGCTCACTCTTTGAGATAAGCATGAGGAAATCTCCCCAAGAGATGTTGTCTCTGTCCATTGACTAAAATTGAAGCCTGGGTAATCAGCTTAGGATAGAGGTCTGCTTTCTGGATGGATGTGTTTCATGACGAGAGACCTTTGCGGAGATAACTGGCTTTGGAAAAGCCTGAGATGCTGCCTTTTGTTTTCAAATATATATCTGTTAGAAGCTGCAGGAAAAACACATCTGGCTTGTCTGAGGAAATCAGTCTGGGTTTTTTGTTTCTTCTGGGGAGACTAAAAGGGACAGAGAAGATTTTAAACCTCAGGATTTTTTGTAATGTTGCCTATAGCTAAGGTTCTGTATCCTAGGACTGGATCCAAATGGGAATGCAAGGAGAGACAAAATTACAAATATAACTGTGTATATTGTTTTAAAATTTTTATCTAATAGTGAAACCAATACTGGAAATTAAGTACTGTAATACAGAAATTGTAAGTGTAGCTGTTGTCTTCCCTGGTTGCACATAGAAGGGTACTCACAATCTCAAAGCTGTTTGGCTGGTTAAGAGATACCTTTGTGAGATGTTGTTGTTTCATTGTGTTTTACTGTTTGTTAAACTGAGACATAGACAGGTTAGATACCAAATTCATGTTCAGCTATGTTCAGCTATAGAAATGAGCATAACGTAGGTGTCTAGCTTTCCTCCTCTTCTGTTTGCCTATGTATTGTGAGAAAGGTGGTTTCAGCAGTGAGTGTTCTATTAACATTAAGTACCTCTATGATTTTTGGTTCCTGTAACTTGTTTTTTTTTTTTCCTCCTTCTTCCTGTTTTTAGGAAAAAGATATTAACTCCCTCTATGATGTCAAGATGTATGTGGAACCCAGTGAAATCACCCCAACAGTGGTATGCTTAAAGAGAGATATTCACACTTACTGTAGACTTCTGAAAATTTATGAGACTTGTTTATTGATTTCTTGTTAGCAGTAATGAAAAGGATAATTGAAAGTGTTAGGCTGCTTGATTTACAGGGGACCGGACAGCAGAAATTTAAAGAGTGTGACTTTTTTCTAAAATATCTTTAAAATTTATGTCCACATGTTTTCTTGTGTGCAAATCCCATATTGATTCATCCATACTGGGAATTTGGGCATTTTTTGCTATTGGGTCTGTGGAGGCGATATGATTTGGCATGCTTGATGCCCCCAGATTAAATAACCTGTGAGAAGGTTCAATTTGAGAAGGCCAAATCTTCATGGAAGGGAAGTACAACATGTAAACCCTAAGTGTGTGTGTCTGCGTGTTTATGAGCACTATTGTTTGTGCACAAAATTATCGCAGTTCCATTAACAAACATGGCATGCACGCACAAATAGGTGCAGAGTTTATTTATGTGCTTTCTATATGAAAATGGTGTCTTTGGTTTATTAATGAGTTATTAAAGTTTTTCTTCTTTTAAGATTATATATAATGTTTTAAAAACAAGTGGCACAGCAAACATCTACTTACCTCTAATTCTTGTTAGGGCTTGGCTACTTGTAAATTCTTATAAAAGTTCACCTGCTTATAAATTTTGTGACAGTAATTATTTTTAGTCTTTTTGGCCAATGAATTTGCATTGCTGCTGAAGAATTTGGGTAATAGTAAATTCAAGGTAAAGAAATGCTTGTTCTGCTAAAACTGGGTGCCTTCCTAAAGGAAATGTGACCGGCAGGATGGCTGATGTAGTTTTGAAGTGGAGGCTTTGTAGGCATATAAGCCTACAAACTCCAACTGCATATATGTAATGAAGATAGAGGATTGATATTTCACTGTGTGGTTTTCTCCCCCCCCCCCCCCCCCCCGTAATTATGTTGCAGCACCCAAAAAAAAGAAAGATTCCTTTTTCTTTTTTCCAAGTTGATACTTGAAGAATAGTGGTTAAGTTGCATCACTTGCTTCCACCAATAGATGTCACTCTGAAACCTGAGTATTATGTTTTCTAAGCTTCATAACAAAAAAGGGATCAATCCCTCCCCGTCTTTTTTTTTTTTTTTTTTTTTTTTTACGATTGCATTATTGATCATTTTATGACCTGTCCCCCTGGATGACCCCTTTGCCCTGTTTCTCTTAAAGCCTCAGAGAACGGTGAAAGCCTTGTATGACTACAGAGCCAAAAGAAGTGATGAATTGAGTTTCTCTCGAGGAGCTTTAATTCACAATGTCACAAAGGAAACTGGAGGCTGGTAAGGACAAAGATTCCTCGTAGGAGAACTTCTGGTGACTTACTAGGTGGAGTGAAAAATTGAGCTGTGGGTAGTAGTTTTTACAAACTTTGCCTGTTGTCTGATTTCTGCTTATTGACTGTGGCCTTATAAATCTTAATGCTAGCATATTTGAAAAAAAGCAACAAACCAAACCCCTCATCTTCAGGTCTCCTTTTGCGTCTTTTCCATTTTTCTATCCTACATCAATAACCTCAGCATGCAGAACCTCCATAGCCCACTGTATCCAGTATTTTTCCTTTACTACATTCATCCTTCCTGAACACCTGTATATTCTGGGAAGTCTCGCATCTGTTACCATTGTTGTCATTGCTCTGTTTCTTTCCTTGCTCTGCTAAGTACTTCTCAGGAATCAGACCCACCTTTTTTAGTTATCTGTACAGTCTCCTGTTAAAAGACGTTTTCTTTCTTAGCTAGCTTGTAAATTGCTTGGAAAGCTTGGGAATCTAATTTTTCCCTGTAGTTTCTGCAGGGTAATCAACCACATAATAGTATTTTTAGTACTGGATGGGGAAAAAGCCTCTTAAGTCATTAATTGCAATTTACAATAGCTATAATCCCTCTGAAATCATCTGTTACTACAGTTAATGATCACTTTGTTAGAGCTTTTAGCTGCTTCATCACTTATATTTTGGTGATAGCCAGCTAGACAAGCTAGTATGGGGTATTAATGACCAATTTTTTTTAGGATTATTGCTTCATTAATGGCCTATTGAAGCTCTTTAACTATTTTTTTCTCTATGTATGCTTTTCTTTTAAATTCAGGTGGAAGGGGGATTACGGAGAAAAAGTCCAACACTATTTTCCATCTAATTATGTTGAAGACCTGTCATCTGGTAACTCTGCTGAGCTTGAAAGCCAGGTGAGGGTTAAGGTTTGTCCGCTGTGTTTCCCTAGAAGATGCTGACTACTGGAAGTGGAAGTCTGGTTGATAAAATTATGACTCTACATGCTGTGTTTGAGAGAACATAGCATAGAGAAATGAGTGCATTCTTCACTGTTCTCTGCTGCTGGATATTTTTGTCAGGACATCCCTCAGAGAGTACTACTTAAGGAGGTAGCTCATTTGGTGGGGTCTTAGGAGATTAAGATGGTTTCCTGCTAATGAAAATCATACCAGTTTAGATTTTTCAGATAGTTCAGCTAAGCAATAATGTGCCTGAGACTTAACTAATTTGCCTGTATAATTACTGCCTTAATATTTGCAAATAAGAAAACCATATGTCCCAACATATCTTACTAGCCATTTCGCACTCCATTATTAAGGTTTTATGTATAACTTACCCTATACTGTTTGTCAAAAGTGTCTAAAAATCTAGTCCCAGAGTCTTGGACCAAGAGATCTCTTCAACAAAAGAAAACAAAACTCCATATTAAGCAGTTTTGGCATTTTTGAGTTTTAAAAATAAAACATTGAATTCTTTTGTTGTTCTGAAGCACTTCCAATGATTTTCCATGAGTCTTTGGAGGAAAACACATGTGTTAGATTTACCCCCTGGGTCACTGGAGCCTTAAGCTGACTTGAAAAACGAGGATTTGTGTCGGGACAGAAGCTGCACTCCTCATTTTGACGAATCTCGCTATAGAGATTCTCATATGTTTCTCAAAACGGGAAATTCTTGATATGGGAGCAGGCTTTTAAACATTATAGTGAGCATGCTTTCAGTGAAACTGAGGTTAGATTTAATGATGTGTGTTTATTATTTGTTAATGTCCTGCGGATATTCACACAAGAGAAGATTCAAAATCAGATTTAACTCATGTTTTTTCAGATTATCGAGGACAATCCATTAGGCTCTCTGTGTCGTGGCATACTGGTACTCAATACATACAACGTTGGTATGTATCTTTTGATGCTTACACGTGGACTCCTGAGGTTTCTGCATTGACTCTTTTATGTTTAGCAGGAAAGTTTTTTTGTTTTTAAAACAAAACACCTACTTGTATTAACATAGCTAATACAATTAATATGATGACACTTTATGATACTAACTGTTGCATAAATCAACAATGACAGCTTAGAAGAAGAACTTTTGGATTTTAGTATAAATTTCTTGCTACTATGTTGCCTAACAGTGAAAATGCCGCAAGGGAAACACAAAAAGCCTTTTGTCTTCATTCTGGAACCTAAGAATCCAGAAGATCCATGTGTTGAGTTTGCAACTGATAGAGTAGAAGAACTCTTTGAATGGTACCAAGGTATCCGTGAAATCACTTGGAAAACTGCAGAAGAGGTATTGATAAAAATCTGTTGTTTTTTATAATGTACTGCTAAAAGTTCACAATATGATTTGTCTTTAGCTGCCATACGATGCTAAACCTTGCTATCACTTGGCCGTTCGCTCTCTTGCATATTGCTGTTTGTCTGTTCATTTTATCGGTGCTGTGAATCTTGTTCCCTAAACTCTTTTGGGAACGATATGTAAATTAGCATTTTATGTAAATTTATGTTAACAGGAGTTTTTCAACAGACTACTGTCTGTTTTGCAGCCTGCACCTCAGTGAAGTGTGCTAAGTAGTACAAAGTAGATACCATTACAATTTAATATCTGATTGCACTGGTTCAATCCTAGTGTTAAGCAGAAGAAACTCGGGTATCAGACTGTTCTGTTCAGGCTTGTGAATCCACTAGTGAGTATATGTGAAATCTGAGCTGCCTTTGGCTAAACTATTCTTAATCCTGTTTACTTACTCTGCTTTCCAGTGAATGCAACAGCATTGATAGGCAATTGTTTGGCTAATACTTCATTTATTTGTAACTAATAGGCACTTCCTGGATTTCCCAGATCTTCAGTAGTAGTATTTCCAAATCCTTGCCTAAAGATTTAAGGATTCTGCCTAAATTTAGCTTCTACGACTTTCTACAAGTACTGACAGTTGAAGACATTCTTCAGAACTGGTTTTTCCTGTTCTGACGTATTAATTTACCCCCCTGTCATCTTTTCTAGTATTTAAGAAGTCTTTGACATGACCAAAAAGCTCTTACAGAGACTATGCTTAAGTATACTTTTTCCTTTGTTGCTTTTATTCACTTTTTATTGTTAGGTGGGTGATATGAATGATGGAAAATGTGTTTCAGTACCATGTTGGCTCGTGCTGTTTATCTGTCATCTGGAGTGGTAGTGCTCTGAGGGTCATCATAATACTATTTATAGCAGGCAAGTTGCTGTCTCAAGCAGAGGACTGCAAATTCAGCAAGGGAAGAAGCAACAGGAGCTGTTGACCTGTTGTTTGGGGAGGAGGGATATGGCTCTTAGGCCAGGCTTTCATTTAGAAATAAAAATGAGAAAAAGAGAAGCATAACCTAGAAGAAGTGTCTCTAAATGGAATGTTTTTATGGTACATCAGTGGGTCTTCAGGAGCTTGGCAGCTTTTTCTCCCTCTGTACAGTACACCGTCTGTGTTCAAAGATGCTTTAAAATTCATTTCTGTCAATCAGGAGGCTTTTCTGACAGTGTGGCCTCTAGAAAGTTCGCATGATAGACTGCTGCGTGGGGAGGGGGAAAAGATGAGGAAAAGCCCTTTTTGCCAGTAGAGTTAACAGGCTGAATTTTGCAGAAGGAAAAGGCATAGTGAGTCAAAACTATGCTACAATACGATACAGGTCTTTTATGAGTTTATTTTTGAGCTGTGTCCATTATACACAAAAAGTAAAACTAAGCTTCACGTATCTTGTCATCTCTGTTTAATACTGACACTTGGCATGCTCTAGGCGTGGTTGTTCATTGCTAGTTCTCCTGCTTGGTTATCACTAGAGGGTTATGTCTAAAGATGAGTTCATGGCATCTAGAAGTGGTCCTTTGCTGTTTGGACCTCTGATTACTGTTGAGCAATGTCTGGGAAACTGGTGGATCACTAAGTACAGTGAGGTTTGTACGGCTTTTTCCCAAGGTTATTTCCAAGTTTAAATACCGTATTGTTCTTTGCTTTTCTTAGACTTTGATGTATAATCTCTGGTTCAGTGAAACATTCTGGAAACCCATGGCTCCCTAGCTCTGATTTTCATTCCTCTTCAGTTTGTGCTGTTGAGGGAATTCTGTTGGAAGACTTCCTAATTGCTGCTGCTTCATAACTTCTTGTACCAAAGCTAATCGCTGTTCAGTGTGGGACTCTTCTAACATGTTTTATCCTGTAATTGCTTCTTATGTCTGAAAAGCCTCCAACCCAAATGTCTCCACTCAGGACAAGTCTTGCTGATCTCAGTAGCAGATAATAAGATTGCATGTGATTTTCCATACATAACATTACTTGTTTGGTGCGCAAATAGAAAACTACAGGAACGATGCTCATAGGATTTGAATTTAGCTGTTTGGGTGTTACTAACAAGAATTAACTCCTGCTCAGGACTGTAAATAAATAGACACTTCACTGCACTGTGCCTTTTTTTTTTTTTGCCCTCCCCTCACCCCCCTGCCCCGGAACGCACTGAAACACACTGACTTAAATAAAAAACCACAACATTACAACCCCCCGTCCCCCCCAGAAAAGCACCCTCAACTAAACCCTAAAACCACTTGGTTAGCCTGTTCTCTGATTTGGGTCTTAAAATACACTAGATCTGTGCAAGTGCCTAAAGTATCAGATAGGAATCTGGGCAACAAAGAATGTTCAACTTTGTCACTTCGTTACAGTATACCCTGGAGTTACTGTACCATAATACTTGGTGTATCTATAATCTAAAACTTTGTTATGTTTTACAGGAGAACAGGAGGAAATACTGGGAAAAGAATCAATTGATTGCTATTGAATTATCTGATCTGGTAATCTATTGCAAGCCAACAAGCAAAACCAAGGACAATTTAGGTATTTCCTTCGATATTACATCTGAATTTTACCCTTTCTACTATCTTTACAGATGTTAGTTGAAATTTTAGAACTGAAGATAAATTCTGTCCTTTCTCTACTGGAAAACAAAGTTCGGCCTCACCCATGCAGTTTTCAGTGTCACTTTGAAATTGAACACTAGGGAACTTGACGCTGTTCAACTGTCACAAAAAAACTGTCACAAATTTCTAACTAGTTAACTAGAGACACCCTCCCATTGGTGTCTTTCATAGGGAAGCTCACTAGTTATGTGTCAGTTGACTTTTTTGAGATGAAAAACTCTGGCTGAACACTTCTGATTTGTTTGTAAAAACCTTCAGAAGGGATTTGTTGTGCATTATACAATTTTACTGTAAGAATGTGTTTGCCGTATATGTAAGCTATTGGAATGCTACAGTTTCATAATATAAAGGAGAACTGAGGTCTGTGTAAGTGCAGGTGTGGAATCTGACACTGAAATTTGTACTTCTTATTCCAGTTTTTTGTCATTGCTGCTGGAGAAGCCAGCAAATGTGCCCTCCTTCCTGAAGTTTCTTTGCAGATGTTTTTAATAAGCTGTCAGTGTGGTTAAGACATTATAGTCATTGTTTGAGGCATTGGCTAACCCTAGCTCACCCTGTCTTCTCCCCATTTAAACCCAGGAAAAGATGTCTCATTTAAATATGTGTTATAGTGGTCAGAAGTGCATTATTAGCAATGTTGAGATGAGAACATCAGTATAGACTCTTGTGTGCCCTGCTGCAAAGCATGTGGCAGGCAGGCAATTTTAACTTTCACACTCGATGCTCATCCAATTTGACGTGTCTGCATTAAAACTGTGCCAATTATAGCATTAAAGGAAAAAGCAAAACAAAGTAAAACAAAGTGTTAGTAGAAATGCAGTGTAAATGTTGACTTCTTTCTTGCTTTAATAACCACTCATTTTTCCTCCCTACCCTGTGTAGAAAATCCTGATTTCAAAGAAATCCGTTCTTTTGTGGAAACCAAGGCAGAGAGCATTGTTAAGCAAAAGCCAGTTGAGTTGTTGAAATACAACCTGAAGGGACTGACGCGTGTCTATCCAAAAGGACAGAGGGTCGACTCATCCAACTACGACCCATTTCGCCTCTGGCTTTGTGGCTCCCAGATGGTGGCTCTTAACTTCCAAACTCCAGGTAATATTCTCTTTAAAAAAGGATCTAATCCGCCTACCATTTCACCATAAACGAGCCCCTTTGTGGCCCCTCTGCCATTCTCGTGACTGTGACTGTCCTGTTTACTGGTACTTTGCAGCAAGAAAAGATGTGCAAGAACTAAAGTTTGGTTTTAAATGTGTGGATCGCCTGTTAGAGCTGGTCCCCGAAAATCAGTCTCCAAAAGCTCTATCTCTGAGCCTAACTAGCCCCGAACTCTTAAAGGTTTACTTCCCCTTGATCTCTTAGTGATAAGCAAGCAGAGATATCCACAGTAAGTTTCAGGTGGACGAACAGTTGTTCAGCCACAGGGAAGGCTGTACTCGACTTTGTGGCAAGGGCCAGCTAGCTTATAACACATCGATAGGAAACTAATTATGAATGAAGATGGGTTTATCAGGATTAAAACTGGTGAGAAATAGTCTGTCAGGTTCAGTTACCGAAGGGAACAGAGTCTTCCAACTTACCTTTACAGCTCTTTCTGATAAAGTGGTGACCAGGAAGAACTGCAGAGAGGAGCCACTAGTCTGGTACTTCCTTAGCTTTATTCAAATGGAGATCTTCTGTTATGACTGTTTAACTCTCTCCCTAGATAAATACATGCAACTGAACCATGCCTTGTTTTCACTTAATGGACGCACTGGCTATGTTCTGCAGCCAGAAAGCATGCGAAATGAAGAATATGACCCAATGCCAAATGACTCGAAGAGGAAATTGCAGATGATTATGACAGTGAGGGTAAATCTCTTTTGTAAATTATGTTTTTACAAGTCATAAATATCTATAAAACTAAAAATAAAGCTATTACATTTCAGAGAAGATCTGACAGATTGTCAAAATACTGTTTTTAAATGACAGTGTGTTTGAGAATAAAATTAATTCCACAGGTTCCTGGAAAGAAATGTATACCTTTATCATGCTAATGAGGTACATGCTATAGGACTGAAAACACAATCCTGGGATAATTTTATATAATTGCAAATGAAAATTCCAAATGAACTAATTTGCATTTCCAATCTAATGACTTCTCAATAGAAGGGTCCTACTGGAGATGGGTTAGCAGCAGACTAACTAGTTCAGAGATTTCCAGCGTGGACGAAAAATATTTATAATGAAATATAGAAACTAAGCAGAAAAAATACGCTGATCCCTCCCCTCATCATATTTAGTACACTGACTTAATCAGTATGTCATTCTCATTTTTCATGGAGAGATGGGTTTATCATTTGAAAATTATGCCATGTTGTCTTCTGGTGCCAAACAGGAACTGAACTTGTTTCGGTTCTCAGTTGCTATACAGTAAGACAAGTCTTTTAAAAATACGTTTTCTGAGAAAGAAGAAACACATGAACTACTTTTCACTACAGTTTAGAGAAGAGGTAAACAGGGGCTGTGAATGTAAAGCAGGAAAGTCTTTAGACAGATATGTAATAAAGGCTGAGGAAAGATAACAAAACTTCTGTTACAGGCCTGGTCTGGAACTGCATACTGTGTGTAATGAATCGTAGAATCATGGAATGCTTTGGGTTGGAAGGGACCTTTAGAGGTCATCTAGCCCAGCCCCCCTACAGTGAGAAAGGACATCTTCAACTAGACCAGGTTGCTCAGAGCCTCGTCCAGCCTGGCCTTGAATGTTTCCAGGGATGGGGCCTCCATGACCTCTCTGGGCAATCTGTGCCAGTGTTTCAACCCCCTCAGTGTAAAAAATTTCTTTCCTTGTATCCAGTCTAAATTACCCTCCCTTAGTTTAAAACCATGACTCCTTGTCCTGTCACAACAGGCCATGCTAAAAAGATTGTCCCCATCTTTCCTACAGGCTCCCTTCAAGTACTGAGAGGCCACAATCGGGTCTCCTGGCAGCCTTCTCTTCTCCAGGCTGAACAGCCCCAGCTCTCTCAGCCTGTCCTCGTAGGAGAGGTGTTCCAGCCCTTGGACCATTTTTGTGGCCCTAATGTCAGCAACAGTGTCTTACAATAAAAATCATTGGGTTACACAAACAATGAAAGATGATATTATTGGTGGTACAGATAGTGTGTTCAATATGTGCAAACATATTCAAGAGAGGGAGTGTGTATTTTTGCATGTTTTTTGGATTCCTCCCCATCCCCCCAGTTCTGTTGGCTACCTGCTGTACGGAAATAATGATGCCAAGTTTCCCTTGGAGGTGGTTATAATTTACAGTTGCTTTTGTAGGTTCTAGGTGCTCGGCATCTCCCTAAACCTGGTAGAAGCATTGCTTGTCCTTTTGTAGAGGTAGAAATTTGTGGGGCTGAATATGATAACAACAAATTCAAGACAACAGTTGTGAGTGAGTATCTGCAGTTTTCCGTCTTGTGGGGATATGCTTCCAGTGTGCTTAAATAAAGTGAGTAGAGGATGACCATGAATTTATGTTGTTTGTAACTGGCCAGCAACCTATAGAGGGAGAAATAAGTTAACTGTTACTCTGGACTGATGAATCATACAGTATTATTCTCTTGCTTGCCTCAGGGCCAGTGAATTTGAGAAACTCCAATGTATATAAAATTTAGGGAAAAAAGTACTGTTGCAGTTTGTTTAAAAGAAAAAAGTCACATTTTTTTTATGTTTTCGCCTATGCATAAGTTTGTGTATTTGCATATTTTACAAAATTGCTCTCTTGAAAATGCCGCCAAGAGTGCCAGTCAGTTCCCAAAAGTCTGGCCCAAATTGGGAGGTACTACTGCGAGATCCAGACTGTATTTATTTAAACTTGGATTCTAAGACTGGCATCCCTTCAGAGACTGCTTGGGTGTATATGGCTGTAAAGTAGTATAACGTGCAACGCAATAGAATTTTGATCAAAGCGCAGTCCTGGTGAGTTCTGGATAGGGGATGTGTGTTTGTGTGTGCCAGTGCTTCATTTAAGTGCACTGAAAAGGGGCGATATTTCAGCCACTTAATATTTCACCATTTAATATTTCTAGATGCAGCAGTGTTCCTCTAGTAGACAAGAGACTTTAGTTCTAATTATCCAAACCACTAATACCAGTTGAAGATAAACACACGATCAGAGGCAGAATGTGCGTTGTGGCTCTTCCAGTACTTGAGTAGAGGATTATGATTTTAACTTTTTGTGGGAAGTGACCGAGACTTTTGACAGTAAACTTCCTGACTGTGTCACAAATACAAACTTACTCTGTGTTCCGTAAGTGACTATACAGATTGGGCCATTGTACATTAGTCTTCCCAGTGCCCTTCATGCTTTTATGCTGATACAGAGCATGAGGCTCATGAATATATAGCAATGAATTAGTTGTGTTTTTTTTTTTTTTTTTTTTTACAAAAGACATGTCCAAGGAGGTTTTATATGCTTAAATACAAATAATAGCTTTTCTTCATGGATTTCCATCCCTGCCAAGTTTCATTCTATCTCCACCTGCAAATAAATAAATACAAACCTTCTGAAGCAAGGTTACAACAGCAGACAGATGGTAAATAGGATTTTTGGGCCTTTATATCCCCAGAAAATGTCCTGGGATACATACCCATATGTGAATGAAGTGAAATTATTGCTTCATATTGCAAATGTTTCCTTTTCATTACAGATGACAATGGCCTCAATCCAGTTTGGGCACCCTGTGCAGAGCAAGTGAAATTTGAAATTTATGATCCAAATCTAGCGTTCCTGCGCTTTGTTGTTTATGAGGAGGATATGTTCAGTGATCCCAATTTCTTAGCACATGCCACTTTTCCCATCAAAGGAATCAAATCAGGTAAGATCAGTGGGTAGAATAAGGGGCTAAGTCAGAAAGATGCTGTTCAGCATCTTTATATTGTGACTTCGCTCTCAGTAGCAGCTACAACATGCCAAAGAACAAGTGCTCTATTGATTTGAGTTCCTTTAATCCATTGTTTATTATGATACTGTGTAGCATATGAGTATTTAAAATAATCTGCTCACCCTCTTGAGATTACTTTTGTTTAATTTGAGGTAGGAAAGCATTATGTAGAATAATTTGAACTGTCTTTACTGCATACTCCATTTCAACGACAGATTTATGTGCTCAGAGTAAAATCTGGGAAGCTTCTTTTTCTGTTTTGGTGTCAGTGCATTTGTTTTGTTAATTACCTTAGATGTGGATGTATGTAGAGCAAGTTTTCCACTTTGCTCTGCTTCTGGCTTTAGTTTTCAAGAGCATGTGAAAAATCATGTGTTTCTCAATTTTGCCATTCTTGCCTTTTGCTATGACAATTACAGGGGAGAAAAGCCTGCCCTCAGCAGTGAAGCATTTGAGCAATGAAGGATCTGTTAGCCCTCAGGATTGAATGCACTATTTTTGTGACTGCAGATAACCCTTTGCCTTAACTTTAATTGTCCTTTGTATATATCCCCCCCAGGTTTTAGATCGGTTCCACTCAAGAACGGCTATAGTGAAGATATAGAGCTGGCCTCACTCCTGGTTCACTGTGAAATGCAACAAGTTCTGGTGAGAAGCACTGGGATGGTTTTGTGCACTTAGAGTGTACGTTATCAGTTTCTTGTGGAAACCAGGAAATGAGGATTTAGTTTTCTGTTCTGTGCCTGATGTGCTATTGTCAGGCATTTCTGCTGTAGGTACTGGGGAAGACCAGTAACACAAACTGAGTTACTGTCCCTCTGGGTGGACAGATTACGCAGTTCTTAAAAGAAATAATGCACTAACAAAGCCTTGTTACTTCCATTAGTTTTTGATGTAACAGCGTGGTCATTGTCTTCCCCTGTTAACTGACTGATGCCATGTGAAGCTGGCTAAATTCAGCTTTGACTTTGTAGAATAATCTTTTTTTTAAAGGGCCTACATAAAAAGAGATCACTTTAGGAAGAGAAGATAGTAATTTCTCTCAGTATTTCATTAAAATAAACAACCCGTCAGGTGGAAGACATATTCTGGTTCCTACAGAAGTGCTAATCTGCTTCTTTTAAGCCTTTCTAAAACACCTAATTGAAGTACTAGTGGTTTTAAACATACAAGGGGGAAAAATAATGATGCATCCTTGCTCATGAAGCCAGGCATTAAAGTGGCTGATTTGTGAATAGCATTTGTTGGTGTTCCAAAGTTGTGGCTGTATATGTTGATTTGAAGCAAGATTATTCTCAGACTCCCTCTACATCTGAATAATATTTTATGTAATTTAAATACAGTAGTGTGGAGGCCATGTGATGAAAGTTTAAAGATGCTTCTGGGAAGTGGATATTTCAGGGTGCTTTCCAGTACCCTTGCGATTCAGAGAGGGAAAAAAAAAAAGTCCAGCTTCTTGTTATTTGTAGTCTTTTACAACCACTCAGGCTTACACTGCAGTTTACACCAGTGTGCATTATTTTTCCTGATGAAAACACCAACTTCTGCTAACTGTAAGTCATTATGTCTCTGGAAGGATTTGTGCCTGCAGTTGCATACACTGAAATGGAAATTACTGAATTCAGTCACATTCTTCCTCACAAAGGAGTAGCAGCCTTTTTCAAACATCCTTTGTCAAGATTTTTACAAAGCTGCCTTGTAACACATGATGTAAAATGACTGCATGTAAGGACAGAGTTTGGCAACCATGATAGGTCCCTTCTGTTGGCTGGAGTCACGAGAGCAGAAGAGGCCTAGAAGCTGAGACCAAGAGTGTGTGTGTGTAAAGAAGAGGCCTGCGTTCCTTGAAGATAATGTTTAAAATGTTCCTTTTTTATGGATACAAGTCTGATAGAGGAGGCCTGATAAACTGCTATTTTTTGGCTTGCTGCCTTTGAGAAAACTGGCAGCAACTCACCATCGCCTAGTAAGTTGAGCATGGACATCACTTGTAGATATATTGCACATTCCTCCTGCCGTGGTTTCTCTTCAGAAATTCAGATCGTTATTTGCCTGGGGCAGGAGTAGCTCCTGAAGTGTTGTTCATAGCAGCAGTATGTCTCCCAATCTGTCAGCACAGAGTCCTTTGACAGTAGCACATTTCGCACTCTTGAAGCTCCTTCTGCTTGTTAAGCCAAATGAAGATGCAGCACAGCTCTGCGTTTTTACAATGTCTGATGTCTCTGGGTGGTAATGAAGTGGCAGGAGAACTTTCAAAAAATTTCCCGTTTGTTTGGCAGTCTGCAACAAACCAGGACTTGCCATGGTTAATCAGCGTCTAGAACTTTTGCCAGATAATTCAAGAAGCATCAGAAAAGATCAAGGCTGTCTCCATCTGTTCTTCTGACCTTTTTTTTAAATGATGCCCCTCCATAAAATGATACAATTTAATAACAGGCCTGTTTATATACAGAGCCCACCTGCATACTCTTGGAGATGAAATACAAAATTATAAAGGGGCATTACAGATGGCTGTGGAATTTCTCAGGAATAGAGAAGCAAGAATATTGTAGACGTGAGCATGCACATTTGTGAATTATTATGTGGGGCCTTACGCATTTTCTGTTGAAGTTAACTGGTTTTCTTGATATTGTAGAAATTGTACTGTACTGAGGTTGCTGTTACATATAGAAGCATGTCTTACTTGCTTGAAAATTGATTTACTTGCTTCAGAAAGTGTGTGCATCTCTTCAGCATTTTCTGATTACAATCAGCCTCAATGATGTATATGTTTTTAACATGAAGATTGAAGTGGACATTCTTAAATGGGGTTTTAAAGCCTAGCTTTGTGGATACATTTATTTACAAGAACAAAGTAGTACATATGCATCTTGATGATTACACCTGCAGATTGGTAATTGGCAATCTGCTTTTCCCTTTGCAATCTGGGAATGCAAAGTTTCCTTCCCCTTCAAAAGAATAAATAAATAAAATAAAGTAAATTACTCTTTAAATCTCTATCAGTAGCATTGCACTGAGGAAGTTGCAGTTGCTTCAGCCCACACCTGGGAACTGTAGGAATGTGTTTTAGGAGAAAAAACAAGGTTTAGGAAAGGATCTTGTTGCTCTAAGTGAAATCCCTTGGGTATGTTGCTAACCTGTCAGTTTTCCTAGATCTGGACTGAGTGCAGAAAGAGGTATTCTTATTAGTATGCTGCCTCTGAAAATGTTTAGATTGATTACATTTATTGATTGCATGTCATTTCTTGTAGGATGAGTATCTTGTTTTGCTGATGATGTGAAAATTAAGACTTCAGTCCTGCCACTACTATTCCCCACTAGTAACTCTATAAAGGAGACAGCTTTTGCATCCAAAGTTTTGAAGTATTGAAATATTTTGAAGCCATAAAGGGAATCATGATGATTATTTTATGCTTGTGGAGTATTTTGAGAATTTCTGCTGTGGGCCACATATAACAACAGAAGCTCAGACTGCTGCAAAATAGTCTTCAAATACATAGCCAGTTCCTTTGCAAGTACTGAATTGCCATATCTCCATGCAAACACTGGATTTGTCCTGCTTTCTTGATCATCTGAGTACTTGCTGCTATCAGGGGTCCTATTTACTAGTTGGTATTTCCACCTTTATTCTAGATTTCAGTAGGAATGCACCAGGATTGGTAGTATGTCACGTGATACACAATTATGATGGAACAGTCAAAAACTAAACTTTTTTCAAAAAGTATTTTTAAAACTGTTATAATCTGATATCCCACTATGATGCACCATTTACTGTCCTGTCCTCAACAGATTGACATACTTTATTAGGGAAAAATATTCCAGTAGATGTTTTTAGATATACACATTTCATAACTTGTGCTGGAATGTCCCTGATGCCCCTGTTAGAGGGTATGGCTGTTCATTTAGTGGGGCTGGGGTTTTTTTTAGTGCTTTCTTAGTTACTTTGATTCCATAAACATTCCAGAAACATCTTGTAAAACTAATTTCATAAAACATTCTATATAAAGCTAATGGAATGTGCTTAGGAATACAAAATAATCCCCCAAACTGTTGATTCTGTATCATTTTGGGTACATGTGTTACAAGTTACATTGATTTCTGATATTCTTCTGAAGGAAAGTGAAGAGGAGCTTTATTCCTCATGTCGGCAACTTCGGAAGCGCCAGGAAGAGCTTAATAACCAGCTGTTCCTTTATGACACCCATATGAATTTAAGGAATCCTAACAGAGATGCTATATTAAAAGAATTCAATGTGAATGAGCACAAACTACAGATATATCAAGAGACATGCAACCGCAGGTGGGTTGATAATCTTTCTTTTTCCAAGGCAGCTCTAGCTAGACATGATTTATGGCAGGGAAATTGCAGGTTTATCAAAACAAGCACTTAAAGAGTGAGCATATCTGAAGCAAACAGGGCTTCAGTGAAGCAAGGCTGGCTGCAAGCCGCTAGAGGCCAGCAGATGCTATGAAATGCCTGCTCAGTGAAATCTCAGTTTCAGTGATTGCAGTGAAACACGTACTCCTGTGAGTTTATATTCCTCTCTTCTGCTTTCCAGGAGGAAAGTCTGGAAGTATATACAGCCACATAAATAAACCACCTCATTCTTTCTATACTATCAAAGTTATGTCCCTGGAAATGTCGTTAGCATATTAGATGTGGGGGAACAGAACATGCTTCCAGATACTCAAACCACAAAAGATAAAAACAGTATTGGTTTGTAAGAGCATAGAATTGTCAGTTAAGTGTCAGTACATTATCCATAGATTAGGGAAAGGATCTTTCTCCTTCGCTGCCACCTTTGGGCTGGCTGTGAGGGAGACAGACAGAGGCTTCATATACCAGGAGGAAGTCTTGAGTAGATCTTAAGATGGGATGGGAGGAAGACTTTTCTTTAAATATTTTTACCCAGTTTTATGAATCACTGGTTTACTCCCATTTATTGAGGAAAAAAAATTGTAATATTTGTTGCTGATACATTACTCGCCGTTCATATCTAAGTAAATTGAACTTGGTAGACTGTTTTCCTCTGACAAATTCATAGTAGACTTGACTTTTTCCTTTTCTTTTCCCTTAAGATTAAAAGAGAAGAAAGTCAGTAACAGCAAATTCTACTCTTAAAGCAATTGGTCTTTGACGCATGCTTTATGGTGCAATTCAGGAAGCGACATTAATTTATCCTGGTCATCCTACTCAGCGATGGTCCCATCAGACTGAGTGACTGGAAGAAGAGGAGGAGGAAAGATGGGTTTCCTTAATAATTTCTTGTTACAAGAAAAACTGTTTTAATTCCTAGTAATTTATATTCTGCACAAAGCACATGCTCTGTGCAGACTAGACCTTCTGTGTATTCAAGATTTTTAAAATTTGAGGGCATGTAGTTGGATAGACCTCACTTCTTATTTTCCAGAACTGAAGTGCAAGTATAAATCATCTACTGTATTTGTGTATGCAGGCTATAAGTAAGACATTCACAACAATTTGCATGCATGGAATCACACCACTTTAACAACCTCGCTCCTTGAGATTAACTGGTAGTGAGTTTTTAATTTATTAAATGCTATAAAAGCACTTCTGCACCAGCATTGTCATGTCATGTATGTTACAGTGCCCAAGGCAGCAGATTGTACTTCTGATGCTGTATAAAATATTTTGGGCAGCTGATAGCTCACACCGTATTGTCTCTTGTTAAAAGTCTTCTGTTACATTTTTGAGAACGAGAAAATATGTTAATTTTGTTGAAACCAAATGGTCTTTGTGACTGTAGTTGTGTTTTTCCCATTGAACTCTCTGTAAATGTTGAAGAAAGGAACGATGTGCGAACCTCTACTCATAGCCCCTGTGAACATAGGTTCATAACCTCAAGGCACTGGAAGGAAAAGTTTTAAGATATGCAGTAGGAAATAACTGTTTGTCTGCGGAAAGGAAAGGTATTTCAAAGCATTTACATTGGTGTAGTATCATTTTGCAAATCCTTTCAGCTGCTAATGTGCTTAGAAATTATTTTTTTAATGGACTGCCCATTTTTAATCTTGCAGTCCTACTTAGACGATAGCGTCAGATGATAGTGTTCTGTAAATGTAGGCTGTTTTCCCAAAACATATCTAATCTGAGAATGATAGTATGCAGAAGTATAGAGGTACATCGGTCTTGAGGCTTTAATCAAATGAAGAACATGGAGCTACAGATGAGAAAACTTGTTAGATTAGCAGGTGTTTTCCTGCCAGAGCAGAACCAAAGTCCTTTGGTGGGTATTTAACACCAATGGTCTTAATTTTTGTATGTGTTGATTCTTTGTACTAGCACTATGTTATTATTATCAAACTCCTAGTTGCTTTATCTCTACATGGGTGGAGTTTTGCTATCTGTATGCTTGACTGGAACTTTCAAATGTGTGCAGAGGAGTTAAGCTTTTGTAAGTGACTGCCTGAGGCATAAAATGCTGCGTGCATAGTGCTGTACTTGTGATCACAGAAAACTTGCATGGATTTGGGATTCATGGCCTGATGAAGCTGCCTCAGCAATTTTCAGTTTCTCTTGCTCCCCACGCTGTGACTTCTGTTGTTTCAAGTGGCACTTAATTGATGCCATTGTGCGTTCACAGATGATGGTTTGAGGAAGCCCCTTGAGGTTTTAGTTATTCTGTAAAGATGGTCTTGTCTCGAAGATGAAAGTGCTATAATAGTGTGTCCCACAATGGGGTGGCTTCTGTAAATTTTTTATCATAAGGAATTTAATTACTAGTCATCCAACCGAAAAAGAGAAGACAGCAAAGTTAAAGGCAATTCTCTGCTTTGCTTCCTTCTGCCTGAAATCTCTTCAGTATACAGTTGTGATTGACCTCTTTAAGGGTTAGATGGGTGCAAACCCCCCTCAGACAAAGAAAAAAATCACATCAGCTGTGGATTTGGGAGGTGGAGCTGTAACCTGGACTGCTGTACAAAGCTGGGCTTATCTGCGGTATCCAGGTGTAATGGAGTGATCTAGTTCCTGCTCCTTAAGGGTGAAGACCTTCGGTGTGCATGCATCCTGTAGCATGTTCCAGGACGTGGTTAGTTTGTCATACCATCAGTCCCTGTGCTATGTACTTCATTCAACAGCCTCCATGATTCCCATCTGACGTTGTGAGAGCAGTGTGGTGTCGGTGTTGATCAGACAAGGTGGCCCAAAGCCTTGTCTGGAAGGTCCTGATGTTGTTGCTACAGGTGGGACAGGATTTATAGGCAGCTGAGTACCAGCTAGGTTTGGACTGACCACAAAAAATAGGAGACTACAAGACGCTAGGCCTTAGGAAGATCAAAGCCTAGAGCTCGAGGCTGTTGCTGTGGTGGGTTGTTTGTTTTGTGGGGACTTTTTTTTTTTTTTAAAGCTCAGTTCCATAGCAGACATAACCAAATTGTCCACTTGTCCTGGCTTTGTTCGTTGGTATGTATATTCCTAACACAGGACAGCCATTGTGTGATGAACACAGGAATTCCTTGTGCTGCTGCTATGCAAATATTTAAAAATTATCACATTTTATAGTCCTTTGAAAAGTCCTGTGCACATTGTCCACACATACGTGATATCAGAAGTTGTAAGAGGCACTCTCTTGGTGTTTATGAAAATGCATTTCATTTTATAGTAAGACTTTTCCCCGCAGTATAACGTTACACGATATTTGGAAGGAAAGTACTGCACTGACTGTTTTGTTGACTTGCAAGTGATGGGCAAGGCTGTGTTCTAACTCTCTTATTTCTTGTGTTCTGTGTTTTAACTCCAAACCTCACCTCTCAGTTCTTTGTAGCAACTTTTTCACAGTTGCAACTGTTTTAATATGAAAGTAAGTTTGAATGTGTGTGCTAATTTTATAATCTAGGAGGAAAAACATTTATAAATTTTTTGAAGTTAACAATATCTGTTAAATTGTTATATTCTTATAGAAACTGTTTTAAATCCTTAAAATAACTTATTTTTAATAAATAATTTTTGATATCTCAGCAGTGATGTGAATGATGCCAGATGCTTCTTTGTTTAAGCATTGCTCATTGAATCTCATTAATTTTGCCAGTTCGTTTGAGGCAGTATGAGTGAGTTCTTATCGAAAAGTGGTTTGCTGGTGTGAAATGGTATGTTCTGCTAGAGGTTGGAGGAAGGGCATTTCTGTGCTTTTAAGACGAACTGACTTATTGTTTCCATAGACGTGGTTATTGTTGCACTTCATCTGGCTGCAAACAAGCAAGGCAGAAGAAAGAGGTCAAAGATCGTGTTTAACTTGCAGCTCCTAACCCACCTTTTTCAGTGATAGGTAGATACAAACTTCAGCCCTAGTGAGCATCAGGTTTGGATCAGCTCAAACAGTAAAGTCCGAACAAGGCAAAGATAAGTTTGTAATAATTTCGAAGCACAATAATCTTGACGTTCAGCATAAGATTATATCAGCATTATTTCTGCCTGTGAGGTTGCCTTCATCCCATGGGCAGAAGTGCTGCTGGGTGAATGCGCGCTGTCTTTGTGTTGTGATTTTCTTCATTGTTGGGAGTCTTGGGAACAAAATTTTTCTTAGTTTTTAAATAAAAAATATCTACATATTGAGCAGGAATCAATATGATGTATCTGCAGCTTAGATCTTCTTAGAGGAAGTGATGAGTGAAATGGTCTTTATCGCCTTTTAATTTGTGAATATTGGTATGCACGAGTTCTGAAGTCCCCAAGAATTGCTTCATTCAGGTGTTTTGTTGCCTGTGTTCTCACATTTTTCCACCCCTACGCATCTGTAAGTCTCTCTGTTGCAAACGTTTTTTTTTTTGGTTTTTTTTTTTTTTTTTTCAGTTCTCAAACTAACCTTCTAGATGGTGAGGTGGCATTAGCTCTGTACCAAAGATTATCTTTCAATTCTTCAAACTAGTTGTAAAAATCTGAATGCGGCATGGAAGCTGAAGTACGTTGTGGAATTCTGCTGTAGTCATGTGTCAGTATTTCCAAGTGCAGTCCAACTAGCTGACTTTGTTCCAGACTGAAATTCCATTTCTTTCATTAGAAATAGAAGTTACATATGATGAAAATTAACCTTCAGAATCAGCTGGGAGCCAAATTTATCTTCTGATCCATAACAGTATTTATAAACATGCCCAGCTATTAGTTTTAAAAGAATTTGAAGTGCAGTTTCATTCATTGCTAGTCTATGTTCCTAGGTGCTACTCCAGCAAAACAGGGAATCATGAGCTTGACCAACATAAAGCAGAAGTAGTTCCCTTAACACTTGTGTACTCCTGAATTGCAATTTAATCCCCATATCTCTTGCAATATGTGTAAATTATCAGTGTTCAGGACACTTTTCTTTGAAGATCACGTTATAAACTATTAAATATGCCAGTATATTGTTGAAAGTATGTGGAAATTAGTAATAAATAGAAATGAAGGAAAATTTTCGTTGGGTCTCTTAGGAGAAGGCATTATAAAAATCTGGTCTACTTTAAGGATGATTGACATGTCATGATGTCTAAAGTTTTACCCTGACATGCTGTGCACATGAGGTTAAACAGCTGACCAAAGATTCTTAAACACTTAAAACATCAGCATCATTGTTTATAGTGAGGCATGTATCAATTGTTAAATAATTTTGAGGACTAGGAAAAATTGAAACTGTGCTTTTTCAGTTTTTAGATGCATTTCTGGTAATTCACTTTCAGGAAAACAGGTAATAGATTAAAGTTTGGAAACAGACACAACACTTGAATTAATTAACTTAATTTACTCAGCTATTCATGCGAGAGTAGCAATAACAAAAAACGGGAAGAAGGTGAGCGAATTCTCATTGTAAAATAGTTAAAATAGAGCAGCTGTGACTGGCTCTATACATATGTAATTTTCAAGCAATTTTAAAGTACCTCCTTAAGCCACAGATTTCCTATTTTCATTGTGGAAGGAGGAAAGGTATCCTTCAGATCTTATGTAGTCAGGACCTTGCTTTTTTTACTAGATGGAGCTGAATGACAGGGAATTAATGAATATACTGACACACTGCTGATGGCCCTGGGGTAGCCATTGCCAAGCCGCTGCCTGTTTCTCCTAACAAGTACCTGATTTAGTGCCCTGTGCTCAAGCAGAAGTCATGGGCTGTTAGGACAAAATAATGCCTCCTGTTCTGTTATCAGTGAAAAGTTCTGTCCTTGACTCCAGACAAATGAAAAGGTTCATGTGCTGAGCTCAGTTTCTGCAGGAGTTCTGGCATTCATGGGGTCTTTTTTTTTGTCTTGTCAGGAGCTTCCTCTTCTGTTGCACCTAAAAAGCGATCCAGGGCTTTAACCTCAGCCAGCAATAGCAGCGTGGATTTGGGCTCCATAAGTTTAGGACCCTTTCAC